AATACTTCTAATAGTATAGAAAATTGTTGTAAGATACTCGACAATGCTAGCGCTTCCTGCGGCTATCAAATATTTTCATTTGTTCTTTTCTAAGACTTTGATCAAGTGAAAGATAGATTTGCAAATGACAAAATTACAATCCTTGTACTTTTTACGAAGACAAAATCGACTAATTAAAATTTAATATAATAAGACAAAGTCAAGTATCTAACTTGATAGAGCGATATTGAATGTTCAAGAAAATAACGTTTTCGCATCGCTTTTCGTCATCAACATGTCTATCAACTGTTTTGATGAGATTCATAAAATGCTTCAGAGATTATCGATGGTAACGGTTCATTAATTCACTCATGTTTTTTAAACTCGTGCGATGCTAACGTTCAATGCTCGTTTCAAATCTAGTAACAACATAAAAATGAAAACGTTATTAAAGAGCTCTCCGACTAGGCTGATATCTTTTTATTATTTTCTAATGTCAATCAATCGTATTATATCGTTACTATTAAAACTGTAGTAGTACTCGGATTTCTCAGAAATGGAATTTTCTTTAAAAATCATCAAATTTCAGATAATAGTAAATAATGAAAACGAGATTTCAAGAAAATATTTAGAATACAAAAGATCTCCGCAATGCTAACAAGAGTATTCATGAGGAGAAACAGAAAATTACGCAGAAATGAAAAGGAAGCTTCTAGACAAAGCTCATTATTACTCATATATCGAAAATAGCTTTCTAGCTAATTGCAAAAAATGACTAAGGCATGTGAAAATACTATTCAGAAAATTTTCTTAATTTTTACTGCTTGCTCACCTATTTTCCAGCGGATTTCAGATATTATGAGTACATGTAAAAATTGCATCACTAGAAAACTGTCAATAGATAAACGAGTCCCATCTTGAAAAGCCTAAAAAATATTATGAAAAATTTGGAAAATTTTCATCCTTTCATGACGTCAGATTCTCTATTTATAGAAGGTTATTACCCAATTTATACACATTAAAATTGAAGGAACTGTGAAAGTTTCAGTAATTACGACAATTTCTTTGTAATTACGAAAATTCATGCGTCACTACTGAAATTTCGAATAATGTACACAATAAAAGATTCGTCGTTTTTATTTGAATTGATTTATTCATCCAGATTCTCAATTCATTGAAGTTTCCTTTTTGACCAATATAAGAAAGTTCTTTCTGAGATTTATCAACAACTTTCAATATTTGAAAAGGTAAGCTACGGTTATCAATATTGAAGTTAGTTATTTGCAAATAGACTCGTGAGAATTTAGCATTCGAGAGTTCCTAGTTTAAAATATATTTTTATACTTCCATCTCAGAGTAATTTCGCATTTATTCTAGCTAGATCTTGCTAGAAAACTATTTCACTTGAATTTATTGTATATTGTGTTATGATCAGATTAATACAGTTTGCCGAAAATTTCCGTAAAGAAAGAACGACGATAATAAAGTTTTGACCAGCAGGTACAATATATACGTCTGGTGTTGTACAGAAACAATGGCTCTACTCGAAATTATAGCTACTACTGAATTCTATTGCGAATCATTGAAGAAAATTTAATTGAAAAATACTAAAGATTTTACATTTTGTTTTGGCAAAGCCCAGTTCTACTCGAGAATGGAAACGAAGAATGATTGGACTTCTACTAGATTGAAAAATAATCCGAAAGTATTTTCCATCATGCTAGTGGAAATAATATTTAGGCAATCATAATTATCAATCTGAAATTTCCTTACTTCTCAAAATGACATCTTGAGTAGCCACACATGTGCGACCTTACTTATTCAATTGATGAATGTTTTGTGCAAATATGATAATGTCATACAGTGCATAGTTTACATAGACACAATACTGTTTGCATAGAGAGACATGCCGACAGTTGAAAACAGCTCTGCCTACGATAAGATGCCCGAGCATTCTTCAAGAAGTAGACAAAGTTTCAATTCATTTAATATCATAGCAGAAAATATGAGCATATGTTTAAATTCGGTAAAAATTCCAAAGCTATCTTGAATGTTTCGACAATTTTTTTTCCAAAATGTCTTTTTTTCTTTCATTAGTTTGTATTGATTATGAATAGTATCATATTTTCACTGTCTTCGGTCTATGTAATTATATAAATAGACCCTTGCTTTTCTGTAAAAATACTGACATAAGTCGATAGATGTTACTGTAACATAAATGAAATCTATGTTTCAATATATTATTACTTGACTGTCAGATCATGCCATTATTGCTGATACATCAAATAATGGCAAATAATTAAACGCACATTCTTTCAATTGGAATTTGGCGCGTAGGTTTGCTTGCGTGTTTATTGCTTGCTTTCAAGCACACATAGACTCATGTCCACAACATTCTTTTCAAACTCTGTTAACGCAAATCATGACTTTATAGTAAAGAAATCCAACGTATATACATTAGACAAGTCGACAATATTACCTGTCAAAACGATATATTGGCATGATTTTATTCAGTTCAATCTTCGCTTTGTATTATTTTATTTCTCGAATAGAACATTCTCCCTAAAAAAAACGATGTGAGATTTACGGTGTTTTTTAATTCAATTTTCGTCGATGGCACTCAAAAGAATTCTATTTAAAAGCGAGCTGGAATTGATAATTCTCTTCACTTTTTTACAAATGCATCTCTCTTACATTCTCGTTCGTATCGAATTGTATTCAATCCTAGGAACATTTCTTCTGCAAAAGAAATGATTTGAATGTTACTCTAAGAAAAGCTGAGGAGCCTGAACGTCTATTGTCAATAGATTTTCATTTATCTGGTTCTGCTGTATGTTCTTGACACGTTCAACAAGTCTAGCTATGAAAGAAATTTAGAAAGAAAATGCGCCATCAAATAAAAAAAACCTGCCCTTCTTGTTATAACAGCAATTGAATGCAAGTATTTGATACAACTGTTTTGCTTGCTAGAAAATTTGAAATACATGAAAGCTCGTCTTTTTTTTACAGAATTCGATTGATATTCATCTTTCGATTACTAGAGCAAAACACACGCATCAAAATTGATTGAGTAGAAGTTAACGTACAGAAAATTCTCTTTTTTGGTAGAGCATGCTTCCATTATTTGCTCTTATATTTGTGAGATTGCATCAAGTTTAATCGTTGAAGAAAACATTTCATATCGAATATTGATAGATCATGCATGCTTGGATTATTATATGTAGGAAATAATCATAATCTATTTTCAATAATAGTTCCGTATGTCTGAGAAGCAATATTAAGAGTTTAAGTATTAGAAAATTCTTGTTTTTCTGCATACAACTTATTGATAAAAATCAATATTTAGTGTAAAATAACGAAGTATAATGTATAGTATGCGTATTGTTTACTTGAAATTCTTATTGAAACAAGACGAGTTTTCTTTTTAATGATCATTTTACTAGAAATATTCTATGTTAATTTCAACAGTATTATGAAACCAACAGACAATTGATTCATCGAAAATCGTCTTGGAATAGATTCAATCATTACGTAATTATAGATGAAAACCATTAATCTCTGTAAGAAATGTTGAGTAGCTCCTACGGGTATAACCCATGTAAAAAACTTTACCCAAAAAAGTGACTATTAAGCACTTTCAATAGTAGGTTTTACGCAGGGTAAAGTACTTATAAGTGAATCTTTTTAAGTACTTTTCATACTTTTTGAGTAAAAAATACTGATAAGTACTTTTGAAAGTAAGAAAAGTATGATAAAGTACTATAGAAAGTGAAATATAGTAAGAGAATTACGTTATTTTACTTTATTACTATTAAAAGTGACCTTTGGTTCACTTTTGTTTTACATGGGAATGAGCTGCAAGAAGAAAAATATGTCATTATGTATATCAAAAATAGATATATGACTGTGACCTGTTGTTTTTCCAGCAAAATCTATAATTTCGCTATCTTTTACTGACATACTACTATAAACAAGATCCACCCATGTTCTGATGAAATTTCCCAGGCCATAATTGAAAAAAGGTTTTATGACCGAAAAAATTTTTATATTAAATTTATGATAAATAATCCCGTTGGTTTTCATTGATACTTATTATTATTCTTTCTACTAAAATAGAATCAAATTTGGAACTTCTACAACACGGGGGTGGTACTATTGAATGAACCTGTTTTCAAAGAGCTTACCATCCTACATTATAATAAAAGCTTAATATAGACTAAGACCATAATTCTTCGGAGACGTTTGTGTGCCGCGCATGATGTGCGACAGATAGTAAAAGAAAAATAATAATAAATTCGATTCTCGCTGCGAAAATAATCATGTTTTCTATTATGATGAAGCCATAAGATTGTTCCTAGTCGTTGAGTAAATATTGAAAACGTGACATTGTGACATTGTGACATTGTGACATTTAGATAAACTCTATTGTCTGAAGAAGATTGCCTTGCCTTTCTATCAGTTATCGTATCGAGGTAAATTATGCTAATTTTAAATCAATAAAATCAATGAAATTCTGAGAACAAGTGCTCTTGTAAATGATGAAGAATTTTTTCTACATCTTTTAGATAATAATCCAACTAATATCATAGACAGCTATTTAATCACTTCATTTATTTAGTTTTTAACTGTGTTCACCTTTTCTCTGCAATATAAATCATTAAGCGTAGTCCTACATCTAATTGTGGGAAGCTATGAATCAGTCGTGCGTCATTACATATGATTGAGTGAAAGTGACGCCATTCTACCGATAGTGACAAAAAAGTGCATTTATCATATACCTTATGTTGGCAGTTTATGTTTGTTAGTGATCAATGAAGTGAAAATAGAATCATGGTTGCGAAAAACCTTTAGTGAACGATACTTCTATATACTATAGATAAGATATTTCCTAACATGCACACACATCTGTCTCCTCTTGCTAGCTAGTGTTCATATTTTGCAGAGTCATCTTTCGATTGTGAAAAGAAAATGATTTAAATGGTTTCTAAACAAAAGAAACAATAAAATTGAATCAGAATTTTATGTATATTTCTGGTTTTCTTTGGGGAAATTTTATACAAGTATGACATCTGATAAGATCAGCAGATGTCTACGCTATACTAAGTAGGCAACAGCGATTTCATTGGTTTGTTCATTTTCTTTCTTTCGACGTCATTATCCCTATTTTTTTCCCTCGCACCGACTGACATTTCAACGACACATTTGGCAAATCAGCGAATCACGCGTCTGCTAGAAAAGCTTATTTTCTTCCTTTCCTGTAAACATTATTTTCAGGCCTAACATTTTATTCTTCCTTTTTTTTTCTTCTTGTCTAAACACTGTTCGGGAAGTTTGTGAGAAGCGTATCGTGTTTTGCCTCTAACATAACATAAAAGAATTCTTTTTTTTTAGATAAGAAAGCATTTTCCATCGAAGTGTATTAACGTTAATCACTATTCTTCTATTTTCTTTATTAAAATATTTAATAAATCAATAGAGTGGCGTTCTTCTGTGAACTAACGTTCTCGTCTGGTACGGTTTTTCTATTTTCTGACTAAAATACGTGTCAATAACAAAATCTTCTATTCTAGATTGGATGTTTTACAGTTTATATTTTATGCTAGTTAGAAACCAAAGCCATGCCATGCGTATTGTTGTCTGAATACATCGAAAGTAAGTTTCGATTTTTTTGATATGTATGAAAAAGAGATATTTTTTAAAACTTTTTTTTGTCTTAGATTCTTTCGGCTTTAGATCCAGCTATACATACTGGTATTCCTATTATTGGTTGTATGGCACAGATTACAAACATGTATGCTTCGATTTTTTTTAATGAAGAATTAATTGATAGAAAATTTTAAAAATTTCATCGTTTTAGTTCGAGTTCAGCTGATTCATCATCGATGGTTCGATCAATGACGTCATCCGAAGATGAAGACGATATTAATAATCAACATAATTTCCTAACACCATCTTTGGATATTAATTTTTCAACAAAAAATGACGTCGTTAATCAATGCACAACCATTGAAATTCATCAAAATGATAGTGATTCAATAAATACTGACTTATCTCAAATGTCCACAATCAATACACCTCAATATGATGCGTATATAAACCTAAGCACATCCAGCAGTGAAGCAAGCCTTGCCCGTCCGCTCCTCAGTGACAAACATCAAAATACAAAAGATACAAAAATAAACTCTCCTTTAAATCCCAATGACTCTTTAACATCAAATTATTGCTCGTTTATTAAATTTTATTTTACTGATATGATTGTATCAGCATTTATAATAACACCACTAGTTAACATACATTGGCGTGGTGCATGGGATTTACTCGATATAAATTTACTACCTAGCAATGAACGTACGAGTGCACTTATATCATTAGGCATTGGTCTTATGATTCTTTATTTTATGTATTTGATACAAAATTATCTTCAAACATTCTATGAAAAACATCGAAAAAATATTTTCGGACAAATTATGACAAGATTTTATACATTAATAATTGCATTAGCCTATATAAATCAATGGCGAGGTTTATGGAATTTATTAGATTTAACAAGCAATATTTGGTATCATCTATTAATTGAAACATTAATCAGCGTTACCTGTCTCTTAATAATGAAATCAATTTACAGTCTTAACTCAGCACCGTTTTTAATTGGTGTTGATACTGAAAGTTATTTTATACTCGGCTCAAAATATAATTTTTCAGTAAGTTTCAAAAACAAACGTTTCTTTTTATACAATAACAGGAACAAAATAGAACAAACTTAATCCTAATAAAAGCAGAATGAATAAATAATAAAACAGATCGTTATAATGAATGAGTGGGAAAAGTTCTTCGGTAATTTTATCGAATACACGAAATTCATCTAATTAATTTTACTACTCGTCGAGGTCATATTTCTAATAAACTTGAATAATCAAATCATTTGAACATACAAGAATACATGTAATTTGGAAAATATATGGATTAAAAGTTAGGCGGAAGTTTTTCTGTCCTTACATATAATTAATAGTAAACGATGAATAATGATGTGACTCATTTGAAGACGAACGTAGCTGCTCATCTTTACTCTCGATTTCGCCTGACTCTAGATTATAATTTTATATGTTTCTTTTGAATGCATCAGTCGTAACAAATTGACGTACAACGTAAATTCAGCACGACCATAGAAAGTATTGATAAAGAATCCTATGCCGATCGATGAAAAAATTTGATACTCAGACTATTTTACCCTTAGGAAAATTTCATCATTTTTGTTAGTCGTGTTTTTGTTTTTCTTGACTATTGAATAGATCTGATCTAGTCGATCAGTTTCATATCTACATGTTTTGATTGCCTAAGATAAAAGCTTTCTTTTGAAATGTCACTAAGAATATAAACGAAAATTATTATTTTAAATGACGAAATTAGAAATACTAAGACTAATATTGTGTTAAAATAAGATTTTGTGAAATAAAACCAAATCATGTTTTTTGTATTTCTTCATACATTTTTGTTTATTTTCTTTAGACAAATCGCTTTTGGCAGTATACGTTTGATTTTGTATTTTATGAGATTGTTGAAGCACCGTTTGTCGTTATTGCTTGGCGTGGTTTATATAATCTTTCTGATTTATACATATGTCCAGATAATAAATCTATATCAATGTTAATCTCATTTACAATTGGGTATTCATTCTTTTTTCTTCTTGCTTTATTACAAATTCCAATAATACAATGTTTAATTAAACATCATCAAAAATTAATCTACTCAATTATTTCTAATATATTTCATTTAATTGCATTCATCAGTGTTGTTCAAATTTGGCGCAGTCTATGGATGATGTGTGAACAATATCTGAATATTCCAGGTTATTCTCATCTAACACTTTGGATTTGTTACGTCGGAGCTTATGCTTTGCTAACATGTGGATTAACATCATGTTCGTTGAATGGGCCAGGCGGAGGAAAAGATAATTATCTTGATGGTCAACCTATACTTTTATATAAATTTGATTATTTCTCAACTTTACTTAAAGTAATTTAAATAAATTTTTATATAATTTATTTTATGAAATATGTTCTTTTCTCTAGAGTCAATCAAGTAATTTAAAAATTAGTAAAGATGTTCATCTTGGACCAGATTCATCATCAATTGAGACAATAATGCCTATCGAAAATCCGTATCGATTTGAGCCTCCCTAACAAAAACTATCAAAAGCAAACATGCCCATTACCATATCGTAAAATGCATCGTCTTTGTTTTTTGAATATTATCAAGGGGCTCGGGATTTGGCTGTATGGAGCGGTTAAAAAAATCAAAGACATTCCTTTCTCCAATTGAACTTTCTTCTCTCTCGTTATTGTTGGCTTTACCATGCATTTCATTATTGAAATCATATAAGTTTTTTTTTTTTTTCGTTTTTGTTGTTGTTATTAATTCATGTATATTCATTATAATCGTTAGTATTGTTGTTTTGTATTAATCCGTGTTAGTTGAAGTAGACATCGAAACAAATCAATTGTATCATGGAACTCATTGACCTATTTGTTTTTGTTCACTTGTCGTTTCACTTTTTTTTTGTATGAATATATATATATACATATATACTTACATACGATTAATTATTCCAAATAAAATTGAAGAAAATAGCTCGGCCAAGAATGATTATTGTTATTTACTGAAAACAAATAGTTTTGCATGTTTTATAGAAATAAGATGCTTGCGTTCAACGTCAATTTGAGTATACTCTTATTTATTTCTTGTCTATGAATAATTTATGCTTAATTTTCAATGAACGTGTCCCAATCTACTTTTCAAAGGCAATCCATTTGAATAGCTTTCACTCTCTTTGTTATTATATGAAGTAAAACATAAGAAAGAAAGAAAAAAAAACTAATTAGTAGACATTCACCCTTTGCGAAAATTAAATCCTATAAATCAAAATTTCATAACTACCGAATGTGATGTACTAAAGCAGAGATTTACAAGGATGGATTCTGACCCGTTGTAATATGGACACAACGATTCTATGAGAGCATATCGTTATTTTTTTATAGCTTTGTTTCGCAGTACTTCAACAAAGGCGATTGCCAATCTAAACTACGTCGAAACTCAGCAAACTGGAACTGCACATCAGTTATTTTTTATGTAGAATAGATAATTGAATTGGTTTATATTGAAAATATCAACAAAACAAGCATAATAAGAAAAATAAATGAAGCATAGGAAAACAAAAGGATTGAATTCCTTGATTATCTCGAGCGAACATGAGATAGAAACCAATTGTTATTTAATAAATAAAAGACGACGACACTTTTAGCTATATTAAAAGATTTATTGCCTATGAAGAAAAAATGTCAAGAAAATAAATATGCGAACCTACTAGAAATACGAATATGACCAATTAAATCATGTGATAAGTTGGATTTATTTAATCAACTGTTTCTATGTCACAAACATCTGGTACTATGTGTTGTTGATAAAACATGAAATCTAATATCATCAATAGGAATATCATTTTGACTGCTATTGTGGCTTTGAAAATCATTAATAACACGAATGAGCTACTTACATCCGTAAATGATATGCCATATTGTGGTTAAGTTGTAGTGTTGTTTTCTAATATGTCATATATACTTCTGTTAGCAAACAAGATATTGAATTCGTTTGTAATTCGAACCTGAAATGGATCATTACGGATAGTTGTAGTTCGTGTGACCTTCAGTAAAAATAATCTATGTTCGCAGAAAACACATAAAATATACATTCTAGGTTAGAATAATCTTAACATTACCGATATGGAATTGGGAATAGTGGTTACGTATTCATCGTGCTATTATCAAGAGATACGACGCAGTGAGAAAAAGTGATATAGCATCGATATTTACTAAGTTAAAATTCAAATTTGAGAAAAACAATTTACATAGGCTTATTTCTCATGTTAATTCAATACAACTGCCTTTTTCTATATGACTATCCGGTTACGTAGACACTTGATTTATACAATATACAGACCAGCATGTAGCTATAGTAAAATGCAAATTTCAAAAGATTTCTATACAAGGAATCAATCAAAAGATGGATTATCAATATTTCAATAGAATCATGAAATTCTTTTTTCTTTCAAGATTCTCTTGATATGAACAATAATTCTGCTAATTATCTGTTTTACTGAGAAAAATTTATTGAACTAGATTTTCTTTTACTTAAATTGTTAGCTGTTGTGCTTTGTTTCTTGCTGGTTTGCTATCATTCGAAGAATGCTATTGTTTATTCTGAAATCATCGGCGAAGAATTTCATGATAATATTCAGAAAATGCAACATGCCAAAATGATATTTTTATCGTAAAAATATTATCGATGGTGCCTGAGAAAAAAAAACAGAAGTTTCATACTTTAGTTATCGCTTTTACGTAATAATACTTGTGTTAGTATTATTAACGATTCAATGAAGTATCTTCTAGTTTAGAATCTGTTTATATTTAATTCAAAAAAGACTTCATGCATTATTTTCGAGAGCGAAAATAATTGAGTTATGTCGAGAGAATGATCCCTTGTGTGATCGTAAAATCGCCTCTTCATATCTATTTGGAATAGGATTCATGTTTAATTTTTATTTAGAATTATAGACCTCGAATTTCTTGATTGATTTTCTTTAACGACTTTCAAATCGACTATAATCTATCTCGTTCAGGTTCTCACGTACTTATTTGATCTTTTCCTCTAAAAGATAGCCCATCGAATTCTCTACAAAACCTAGTGAACACAGTTCTTTCAATGAATCATTATGAAATTATATCCAGTCTACACTACAATACTCCAAAATAGTCTACTTTCAAAGCACTGCATTTTGTATTTCCGATTTTGCACTGCTCTTTCCCTACTTAGAAAACGGATTGATTAGACTAGTTTGTAGCTTTTGAAAAGCTCTATCAATTGAGCAAAGCTTTGTTTTAGCATCACGTCAATTTATCTGAAAAAAAGCCTCTTCTTAGTTCGTCACTACTTTCGTTTTGAGAATCTTTTGTATAATTATACGCAATTACGGTTTTGTTACATTAAATAAACAATGATGATGCATTCCGATGTAATACCAAATTGACGATAACTTTTTTCTCTATTATTCTGATAGGGAAATAATGCTATTAAGAGGTTTTTTTTACAATGCTTGTGTCATAAAACGAGGAAGATCGATAGTTTCAAACCGTTTTTGAGGAGAATTGCAAAGAATAAATATGTGAATAATACACATCATGTCAAGAATAAAGTAATCGTTTTCAAAAAAAACATATTTTGTTGCACTTGAAACTTTTTCGAAAGGAAATTTTACATCAAAATGAAAGGAAAATGTTTCTTATTTAACGCTACCCGCATTAGTTCTTTCCAATATAATATAGAAAGCTAACAAAATTCCGAAAACTAAAATAAATATTACCGCCATTATCAAAAATTTAGTCCAATATTATCTATGTAATTTGCACGATATTCACACTAGAAATTTCTAATATTGAGACCATTCACGTCATCATATAAATGTAATGACTATACAAGTGCAATTCATATAGAAATAAGTAATAAATAAGCAAGATTCTTTTACTATTCAGAGTACGTTCATGAAATCATCTTATATTCTGTTCATCATAATGAAATACACAGATAACTGCGAGTCATGACATTGAAAAAGCTTATGGACTATATACGTTAATGAATCAGTCTTTCTATTTTCAAGATATTAAATTCTGATTCAAAGTCTAATCATTAATCTTTTGATTTGTGTTCTATAGTTTGTTCCAGTAATAGCATGAATCAACAGCTGTCATGTTACTCATGCATTTTATTTATTAAATGTTGTACGATGGGTCTATTCCCGTGTTATTCGACGTATCTTAAGGGCTAAGTAGAACTGATTAGGATGATGTATGACTTATGCCCGTATGTACTGGATAGATAGGCTCTTGCCGATTATCGTTTGTAATAATATGGTCTATCCTTTATCAGATATTTTTCTTTTCTGTTAGGCGACATTAATATGGCTCTTCATAGACGCGACAAATATTGTCGGACTATTTATTTATTTTATTAACGGTTCTGAAACAAATTGTTTATTTTTCTGTAATCTATATGCTTGTATACATACAGATTCAAAAAATGTATTTGTTCTGAAATATACAGTAATTCTTCTTCATATGGATCATTTTTCGATTTTTCTCTCCTATGTTTATGACTATTGATAATACTTCTCGGTGTCTATTATTTACAATTGGTAGTGCAAAGTACACGATAAAGTATTCCTTTTGACTTTTGGTGTCATTCAAATGTACTCATAGAACCACCTTGGAAAGAAAATAGATAAATCTGCGAAAACATTTGAAATCTAGTTTTTTTAATTCAAGGAAACTTTTAGAATGTTAAAACATACTTAATTATGCAACACCGACAATCAAAATAAAATGAAACTACGCCATTGCTTGTAATGACAGTTTACGGAAATATCAAATATTCCAGAAATTTCTGTGTTTGTTTTCCAAAATTGGTCAGACTTCTAGAAGAAATATTTACTTGAATAATAAGCAACTAAAAATTTTGCTGAGAGAATTATCGGATTATTTGTCATTATTTTTATTTTGGCACAATCTAATCTGTTCTTTTCTACAGCTTAACAATCACAGGGTTTTGTTCAGTATTACAATATTCATCCAGCAATGCAAAGCTGATTACTACACAAAACATATTCTTGTCTTTTTTTTACTCATGAATGATTCTACTAAGAAGCTTTGTAAGAGCAACAGGATAAAATGAATGAAATTCTCCAACGAATGACACTATAAAAGTATATTAGTATGATCGTACAAAGAAAACTATTTGGTTTCATTTGAACTTGCATTGCACGTTATGTTAACAGTTTAACATTTGATGACCATTGCTGTTGTATATATTAACACATTCTATTTTTGATTCCTCCTGGTAGTTTCACTAGATTCTTGCTATATTCGCATATTGTTATTGAAAATATGTGTAGTTACCAATAATAATTGACTATCAAGAATATATATTCTTTTAATAATCCTTCAATTGAATTGAGTCAATTGATTTTTAAAATGAGTACTAATTCTTTCATCAATATCTGTATTAACTGTGATTGAACTATTCCTTTTTTTTGATTAAGTGGAAAATGTGTTTAGTCGTGAATAGTTACATTTTCAAGATTGATAAAAAAATATTTTATAAGAACAAAAGGAAAGGTTAATATTGCCGATTTGGAATATCAATTATCTATCCCAAGATATTGGTTTAAGAAAAGCAATTGATTGATTATACTCTTTTGTATATTGAAAAAATATTTTGTTTAACACCTTCTATTGAAGCTCTGAGTTGATGACTGAGAGATATCTATGAAATATTTCCAAATTGATAAACTACTTTTAAATCAGGATTATGTATATACAGTCTATGATCTCAGATACTCTCTGAGGATCATACGTGAAATTAAGTACTGTAACTTGCTATTCTCCCAATACACCACATTTTGTCTTTATTTTTTCACTACACTTCAGTGAACGTCTACCAAGATAGTTAGTAATGAAGATTTTTGAATCTTCAATTCAAAACGTAAGCACTAATATTGATTTATAGTAAATTAATTTATTGTGATAATATCAGTTGGTTTTGGTTATTCCTATTCTGATCTACTGCTATGGTGATTACCTCTGTTTTATAGGCCATTTGTAATAAAACAAGGCTTCGATAGGAAATAGGTGCGGACTCAAATTTCTCTGAAGATCTTTGTAGTTTATTACAGCTACTATTTATAATACAGATTATGTTAACTGAAAGATGACTAGTCCATTGGATCGAAAAGACCACAGAAAACTTCTTCTAATGAACTAATTAATAATTCTGCTACTTAAACAAATAAAGTGTGGTAGTTTTCTGCATTCATCCATTAATTGCATATCCATTATACTGAGTGAATCGAATTTAACAATGGATTCAAATAATAAAAACAGCGGAAATTCATCAAACTCAACGAGCTATTTAAAATGAATTGAAATCATAGAAAAGCAAACAAAACTAGTTATTATATGCGATGCCAGAGGCGATATGTCGTCTATTCAGTTTTTCATATAACACAACTAGGATGATACAAGATAACGGTTTTCTAAAATGTATCTAGTGACCTCACATATTCAATAAATTCAATGGTCTAAAAATTTAACAAGCAGAAGGCGCGTCTTTGTTTAGTCAAATTGTTACAAGTCAGTCAGTTTCAACATAGCATACTGATCTACTGACTGATGTAAATGACTCAGTGCATTATTTCTAAAAGGAATTCACTTATGCACTTTTGTATTCTATTTTTAACTCTGGATAAAATAAAAACTAATTTCACACAAAAATTAGGCATAGTTTGAAATATTTTTGTAGAATATTTGCGTCCTGGCGCTTTTCACTTTATGCGGTCTGTTCATATTATACACTGACAACATCATAGATGTTATTTGTTTCATTGGTTCTTTTACCATTAAGCGGCTAAGCAATATGAGCAAGCAGACCGATTAACGAAGCAGTTTTATTCCCAACAGCTCTGTATTTACATACATTTTAGCCGTTTAATAAATAATTATTACACGATATTATTAGGTACCAGTGTGCGTTGTTTTCGATGCTCATAAACGCATTTCGATGTTGATATTAGCTCTTGACTGTAGAGTTTGTATGTCAGATTTCTGTGTAATTCAGTCACCCAGGTCGAACAGTCCGGCTTGGAAACGGCCGGTTCCGGTGATTTTCGACCTATTCCTGCCGGAAAGCACCGGAACTTGGTAGGAATTCTCCGGAAAAGTCCGGCCGTATGTTTGACTGGAATACTGCTTCCGTGTTCCAGCGAGTTCCCGTGTTTTCCTGCAAAATATGGTGACTTTCCCGCATATGCCCTGGAGTATCCTACGGGACCAGATGACCGGAATGTTCGACCTGGGCATGCCAAAAGCTAGAGAACGAGTATGCTCGATATGCGGAAGTAGTTCAAAAGTAACTCGGAATAAGTTCAAAGTTATTACAACAGTAGCCGTTGAAAAACTATTAATATCTGCCTATCAATCTAGATATGCTTCCGATTTATCTGTTCCGTTGCTTGGCACATCGGTGCATGAAACATTCTACAACAGCTTGTATGGATGGTATCATTATCAGAGTCAAGTGAAAGAAGTATCGACTAATAATACGTCTTGCTTAAATCCAATTAGTAATAATATGCAAAAAGTTCATCACTCTGAACATCAATCATCACTGGAAGCAGTATTGAGCGAGTAGCTTCTTGGAAGCAACATCATGTCATACGATATGTATGCTTGTAGCAGGCTCAAGGTCATCAATGGATTCTTCGAAAATCTCGTTTATATTCTATGTGAAATTAGGCATCTGCTTCGAATTCCTCAACTTAAAACATACAGTTATATAAAAGTGGATACCGTAGGGATAATACCCCAAAAATAATTCGATGGGTATTATGACTTCGAAATCACGATACCCAGTGTAACAGTATTATGACATCTATGGCACTTAATGTACTCCAGAAAGGAAACAAATCTATTGTTCTCATACTTTCCCCATCAGCTGTTGCCTTGTTCCATCATTGTCGTAGAGCGAGTAGACAATATCAAATGTGGAGAAGTGCACATATTGACAAACTTCCTTATCCTGATCATGAACCATACGGTTTCGAAAAGATCAACAATGAAATCAGAATAAAATGAACGATAAAAATGCCTTTACCAAAAGATAATTTTTGTTTCCATGGGAATGACACTTTTTAGAAATTTTTAATTTCGAAGAGTATTTCTTACTATAAGTCTGGCAAATGTACGGGTGATACTAGAATTGTAAATCTGGTAAATATTCACAACCATGTACAATATAGTGCTCGTGTGATCCCACGAAATGTTCAAATCGCTCTTCAATTTCCAATGCTTTGTTACCAAAACATGCTGAAATAGTAAGCTCAAAAAAGCAATTTAATACACTTATCTCAATCTAACTTTTAGACATCAATCGAATCAACTAAAAAAAAATAACATCTTCCACGATCATGATTATTTTTTGCAAATCCAATGAGATCACCAACTCTGACGTCATATGGTATGACTCTGATGAAGATGCGTCTTCACATTCTTCAGATCTAAGACAGGTACGATATACAGAGAAAAATAGACTAATTATTTCTTCATTTACTTCTTTCTTATACACTATTTTAGAATTTTGACTCATCTGATGATCTTACTACATTTGGGTGATTAAAACAATTATTTTCTTGATTCATATATTTTTTACGATTTTATTTTTTATAAAATTATTTTTTACTTTTTTCGTATAAAATTATTTTTTTCTTCATACGCTCTATATTTCGTATTGTACTTTTATTTGTCTACGATTGCAAATAAAATCATTGCGATAACATAAACTGCACATTGTAAAACAGTCAACAACACTGGAAACAAGCTCGACAAAATACTAATATATCGTCTGTTGTCATATGTCAATTGAGATCTATGCATATTTCAAAGATTCTATATCATTTCCATAGCAACCCTCTATCATGAAAAAAATCAGCTAGCGTCACCTATTAAATTTCTATGAAGCGCCAGAAAAATATTAATCACATATTGTTCCTCATTTTATACTGAGCCTAAATATATATAAATCTTAATATTTGACCCAGTTTAAAAAAAATATTGAAACAGTGCACTTAGAAATAACCATTGAAAAACAAGCGTCTCCTATTTCATCAGTCAGTAGATCATACAATCATTTAAACTTCACTAATTATGTACGAAAAACCCAAAGCACCACAATTTCGAGCAACAAGAATGGTAAAGTTCATTTTCTCTATTTTACTTAACGATTTTCGTTTTATATTTTAGTGGAATAGTCTTGTTCAAAATTTTCGTTCATCTATAAAATTGAAAAAAAAACGTCATTTTTTCAAAACATATCAAAATTGTTTTTCATCATCAGATGCCATTGCATGTATGGTTAATGTTTTACAACAACAATCGTCGGGTTCCAGTAGTTCGTTGGTTACACGGTAAAGAAATACTTTCTTTTACTAAAATAAAATTCAGTTTCAATTTAATATTAGAACACAAGCGATTACAATGCTTCAGTCACTTTACAATGCAAAAATCTTTTCAGATATTAAAGATGATTCAAAAAGAACAGATGCCAATGATCCAAAACAGTTTTTAGATAATAAAATTTTCAAGTAAATACTTTACTTTTCATCTATAATTTTAACTAAGCGTGAGCATATTTTTGTTTTTCTTTTGAAGACTGTTACCACAAACAGAAGAAAATATTTTTCCACTGGTAGCAACGGTTGAGGATAACAAATCAATCGAATCAATTTCAAACGATGAAACGAAAACATTATTTTCACCTTCATCTGTTTTTGAACTCATGTATGCATTTGCTCGACAAAAACGTAAATTACATTCATTTAGTCTATTTAAACCTTAATGAAATGTCCCGACATTTTTTACATGTTTATATAGAATAATACGTTGTTTCTTATCTGATTTCTTTTTTTTTGTTTCTAAATAAATCGATAAAGAATTCGATTTGATGGGCATTGTTTTTTTTCATGTCATTTTTTTTATCGATTGAACAAGTTATTTCCGTATTAGCAAACACACATATACAGGAAGTTGTTCGTTTAAGAACCAATTAAATGAAAGACGTACACATATATAAAAGCAAGTTGAACATCTTTGATATAGAGTGGACGTGAAAGTTATTAGGCAAATAAAGAAGTGCTTCCGATCCAATATTATCCAACGTGTATGCTTTATAGAAGTTGTCTGTTTGCTCGTAACTATGTCGTTTACCGGACCCTTAATTTATGAAAGAGAAACTAAGTTCATTATTGTATATCTTGATTAGAAACAACAAATAGTTAGTTCTAGCTGATATAATCATCAAACATTCACTTGACGTTTTATTTCAAATCATAATATTCTTTTCTCTGTAGTTATATTATTGTGAAACAACAAAAAGAGCAGAACTGAGAATAGCAAGAATTTTAAGCGTTTTTTTATTCTCTGATTTCTTCATTTTTATAATCAGCCATCATTTTTATTGTTGTCATAAGAAAGAAATGTTCAAGTATGTAGGCAAGCATACGATGATAGAGATAGAGAGAGAGAGAGAGAGAGAGTGAGAGTGAGAAAAATAACTTGAGTTGCTTCTTGCTCAGTCAGGATATTTGATGAACGACAAAGAAAAAAGAAAAAACGTCATCAGCGAAGAAATCCAATCAACATTATACTGATTCATTCGTTTTTATCAACATATATCCTAACATGGATAAAAGTTTTGCAACATTATATAATAAATTAACTAACTTACTTCATTCAAATCCATCAACATCATCAAATCAATCATCTATACCTGAATTGGGTTCATCATTACCACTATCGAAATTTTTCGATCGACTAGTTCCATCACCACCACCATCATCATCATCATCAGCAGCAGCAGCAGCAATAACAACAACAAGTCCATCAATTGGCCAACGTCGCGTTTCCTCTCGAGTCTCTCGTCAAATATCAATTAAAACAAATGAGAATCGAAATCTAATTCCAAATGATTTATCCAAACACCAAAAGTAAGATTTTATATATTTCTGTACTAGAATTAAAATAATGAGAAAACGAATCGTTTGCAGATGGGTAAAAATCTGTTATTGATTAGAAGAAGAAAAATCATTTCCTTTGTAACAGATACCAAAATAAACACTATGCTTGAAGTTACACACGTATCACTGTCTATATCATCTCATGATAATCGGCGACATCAATTTCCCATACAGAGACGATGTTTTATTAGAAAATGGTTATTTGTTATTTATTTTTCTCCTCTCACTACTATTTTTTATTCTACTCTTTTTCTTTTAAATAGTAAAACTGAAGATCATAGCAATGTTCTACAACCTGAACTTGAACGAAAGTCAGCTCCATTGCATCATGAACCAGCCGTATCTGTACCGGGCATGGACGATGAAGAGTTTCGTCGACGAGGAAAAGAAATGATTGATTATATAGCTGATTATCTGAAGCATACCAGGTAACAAGCAAACAAATTCTTAGATCAACAAAAATTCATTGTTCTTTTTTTTGCTAAAATTCTATTAGCGAACGTCGCGTTACACCTGAAGTTGAGCCGGGTTATTTACGTCCGATGTTACCAAAAAATGCACCTGAAAAAAGCGAAACATGGGATAATATAATGGCAGACGTTGAACGAGCTATCATGCCTGGTATAACACATTGGCAACATCCACGTTTTCATGCTTATTTTCCAGCTGGAAATAGTTATCCATCAATACTTGGTGAAATGCTTTCAGCTGGTCTTGGTATTGTTGGATTTTCTTGGGCAGCAAGTCCAGCATGTACTGAACTTGAAACTATCATGCTTGATTGGATAGGTATTTAAAAAAATGAAAATTAATATGAAAATTTTCTATATCTTGTTTGTTTTGATTAGGTCGTATGATGGCATTACCTGTTGATTTTCTTCCATTCGATCCAGTTCGTGATAATAGAGATAGTGATGATGATGATGATGACGATGAGGAGGAATCATGTTCTGAAAGTGATGTAGAAATAAAAGAAAACAATTCACATGATTCGGTGATGAATGGAGAGACTCATCGTGCATCAAAACGAAGTCGACATATTGGTGGTGGTGTTCTTCTTGTAAGAAATATTTTATTTTTTTAATACTTATATCGAAATATTATTAGATCGTCGTGATTCGATTTAGAAAGATGCTCTTTCATATTTTCAGTTGTTTTTCTCGTCACTATACTAGATTCAAGTGTAGTAGGTTTAGATATTTTTGATCTATTATTTCTAGTGATCTATTCTTGAGTTTATCTTCAATAGTCTTTTATGAAATAAAAAATTGATTCGAAGAAATTATCTATCGTCATCATCTGGTATCAGAATCTAAAACTAGTTTATAGCAAGACATGTAATTCCATTCGTTTCACTTAACACTTGGAAAATAATTAATCAATTGAATACGATAATATGAAAATGATCCTTTGTTTTTTGTTTCTCGGATAGGGTTCGGCAAGTGAATGCATTTTGGTTGCGATGTTGGCAGCACGTACGAAGAAAATAACAAGTAAGCGCCTAGTCGATCCATTAATGGAAGATGGCCAAATTTTAGCTCGACTTGTTTGTTATACATCGAAACTTGTAGGTTTAAAAAAAAGATTTTATATCAAATGAAAAGAAGAGATTGGTTTTGGTTTCTTTTTTAGGCACATTCGTGTGTAGAAAAAGCAGGCTTAATTGCAATGGTTCGCGTTCGACAGTTAGCTGTCGATGAACATTTTTCATTACGCGGTAAAACATTAGAAGAATGTATTCGAGCTGACAAAGAAAAAGGATTAATACCATTTTTGGTTTGTGATTGATATCTGTATGATTTCAGATTGAAATTGTTAATTTTTTTATTAGGTTTCGGGTACATTAGGAACAACATCTTGTTGTTCATATGATAACTTAGAGGAAATTGGTGAAATATGCCGACGCGAAACACTTTGGTTTCATGTTGATGGTGCCTATGCTGGTAGTGCTCTTATTTGTGAAGAATATCGTTATATAATGAAAGGTTTACATGTAAGAAATAGAAAATTTGCCTGAATTGAGAGAGAAATTTGTTACATATGATTTTTATTTGTTAGTATGCCGATTCATTCAATACAAATCCAAATAAATGGCTATTGATAAATTTCGATTGTTCGTGCTTTTGGTAAATTAAAAGAAGATCAGCTTTTGGTATTGTTAGAGAAAATTCTTCTGATTTTAGGGTTCGAGATAAATTTGCGTTGATCAACGCTATGTCTGTTGATCCACTTTATCTTCAACATAAGCATGCACAAAAAGCAGTTGATTATCGTGTAAGTCAATCACATCATAAGAAACGTTTTGTAATGCTTTATTATTTTCACACAGCATTGGGGTGTTGCGTTAAGTCGTCGATTTCGTTCACTCAAACTTTGGTTTACTATTCGCAGCTATGGTATCGATGGTCTTCGTTATTATATTCGAGAAGTAGTTCATATTGTCAATTGAAGATTGTGTTTTTTTTTGTAATGATTTTTGGTTTTTAGCATTGCCGTTTAGCAAAAGTGTTCGCATTATTAATAAGCGCAGATAGCCGTTTCGAAATCATTGGCGATGTTACATTAGGTCTTGTTTGTTTCCGTTTAAAGGTAATTCAATTGTTTCAAATATTATGTATCTTAGTATTTCATTGGTGAAAAGCTTTTCGTCTTGAATAGATCAGTGCGAGTAGAGAATCAGAAACAAATGTTTCAATCAGCCACAGAATTTCACTGTCGAGTTGATTTTGAAGGTATTCAAATGTAGGATCTGTACGAATGGGGTTGCTGTTTTCAGAACTAACCATCTAATAATACTTTTTAAGATCAAGTAAAATTTTCTGTATTCACTTATCTATTCCCAAAATTTGACAGATAATTCTATTTCCTTAAATATGAATGAGAACAGTCACATAAATAACAGTCGATAAAACAATGATGAAAAAGTATTCGAATAAACTACTTTGCCAAACTACAATCAAAACAGATATCCACGACGAAATTACTGTGGTATACTTTTTGTAAATGCATTCCATTGATTCGATAGATAATCTTTAATCGTTGCCTTGTCATTCGATGATGTCTTGTTAAAGCGATCTCTATTTTTTAACTGCCATATAAGTTTAGTGTGAGATAGGCACTGCTGCGGGAGATTATCTTAGAATTGTGATTATCCGGACTCTAAAAATGAAAACAAAACAAGAGAATATTTATTCAATAAAACATATTACATTGTACCATATCTAAAATTAAAATTTAACATCCGTATTCATATTGAATGATACTATTTTCTAGGGCAGTAATAAATTGAGCCAAAAATTGCTTTTATCTCTGAATGATTCGGGTCTGATTCATATGGTTCCATCAATGGTTAATGATATCTATATAATTCGTTTTGCTGTTTGTGCTAAATATGCTAATGATGATGATATGCATATAGCATTCAATACAATTCAAGAACATGCTGATGATGTCCTTGTTGAATATCGTGCTCAACGTAGCGGACGACAATCATCATCAAATGATTCACTTGATTTAGCTACAAAACCAACAGCTACTATTAATAATAATGAGCACGATGAAACTGTATCAGATGAGCCAGCTAATGCTCCGGCATTGCCGGAAGTAACAGCAACTCCAACAATTTATCCCACGACAAAAGTTCGAGTAAAAATATTTAAATTATTTCTTTTGATATTATATAAATAAAAATAACTAATCAATTTTAGGCAAATACAATAACAACAATAACACCACAACATCGTGTAACATTTGAAAAACCAACAACAAGTTTACTGAAAGATAAACGAGCACGTCCAATGTTTGTTCGTATGGTATCTGATGCAAAATTATATTATCCAAAAAGAACTACATCACAATTATCTCGTCAAACATCATTAGTAACACCACGTGCACGAAAACGAATACAAAGTGATTCTGGTCATCATACAACACGCTCATCAAGTGAAAGATATCTTTCACATACAGTAAGTATTTTGGAAACGGTTAATTCTGACGAAGGAGAACTTGATGATAAACAATAAAAATTAAAAACTAATATTTATGTAATGAGTGAGATTTGAATGAATTATATTTTCTTTGTTTTGTTTATTTTGTGTCGGTGAATAGATGGTACGGTGATCTCGCTCTCTTTCTCTCTCGTGTATTTATTCATATTAATCAGATTTTACATATTCATGTTGTTTGTAAAATGCATATAAATTACGTACTGCATAGTGTTTTCTTCTTTGAGCTTTTTATTTATTGTAAGTTTATGTTTGTAGCATTTTAATTGTATTTATTCAAAGTTTTTCGTCTTATATATTGAAAAAAAGATCACTAGAAATATTTTCTTGAGGTTGTTTTTGTTTTGGATTGATATTGCTAATCTGTGCTTACAGATTCAGGTAAGCAGAGATCTATTTTATTTTTCAGTAAAATTTAATTTCAAATTAATAATAATATTGATTCACATAAGAATTGGTGCTCGCAGACAAAACTACGTCACAAACGACTGTTTGCATTTGATCGCTTGCTCGATAGTGTGCTGACAAAATTTTTGTATATTACACTTGATCTTATGCGCAGTAATTATATACGAAGAACTGTAATAATTAGACTGAAAAACTTTGTTTCAGATCGGTTTATTTTTCAAATCAACGGGGCATATTAGTTGTATCACAAAGATATTAATCTATATAGAAACATAGAAGTGTTCTTATTTTTACTATATTAATTTATAATGAGAAGATGATAAATAATTTTCTTGGAAAATCAATCAATGTTAGGAATAAGTTCTTTACTTAAATATCGTATGGAATTTCGACTATTGACTTAATCATTAGTATTATCAATAGACTAATAATGGACACCACGCGATTCATTTATATAAAGTTAAAATTCTTCTGAGAACACCACGCAAGTGGTTAGTTTAAGACAACAATCATTTACTGTTAGTTTTACTGGTTATCCATGGTTTCTGTTTAGGAAATAGAAAATCTGCGATAAGTTTAATTAAAAGATTAAAAAAGTTGAAAGTGGATGAATTTTAAGCTAAAACTTTTTCAGTTGAGAAGATTGCCTTTTCTTATAATTGAGGCAAGTTTTATCAATTAATTGTTATTTACTTAAAATTCAACTTTGTAACATCAACATCTGAAGGCAGTTTATTCATTGTAACAATTTTAGGAGGTTGACAAGACAACTTGATCGAAAAATTAATCACTAAGGATGTGTGTAACATTTCTATGAGAAAATTTATGTTTCTATAAAAAATCATTATTCTGTTCTTAAATTCTAGAATCATAGACACTATATATCGATTGAATAAAACTTGAAATAAATTAGATAAGTGATTAGAAAGTAATACTCAACTTACAGGTTGTTCAATATTAACGATATTCGCCAATACTAAATGAAGACCTGCAATTCAGTACAGAAAAGAATAAGATATTTGGTTTTAATGTTCCCATGGAAATTCTCTATTCATTTTTCAGAAACATGTCTAACATAAAAAATCGCATAATAAGAAAAATCTGTTTTTGAAAACAACAAAATTTGATTAGTGAAAAGAATATAGTTTACTAGGTTCTTCTACATCACCCACACTGTCAAATACACATACATAATTCAATCTGAAATGTCACAGAATGATGGTGAGGATGTGTATGTATCGTATGCAATCACCGGTTTGCTACACAGGATTTATTTTTTCTACTGCTAAGTGTAAGGAAATTTTTTATTAATCAACCAATTAAATTATGAGGTACCATGGGAAAAAACAAATGCTTGATGTTTTATGATGAATTTTCATTGTTATTTTAGTGGAACAATGATGATAATCTCATATTCCACTCGAAAGTAAATTTATTCTTTCTCAATACATTCGAAGAGTTTACATTTACAAATAAAATTACATCTGATTCACGACAGAAATTGTTTGAGGTATCTTTTTCGAACAGTGTTTCGAATTGTTTTTGTTCTATATCTCTGCATGCCTACTTGCACCCTATTGATATTTGATACAATATCATCCGTATTGATAGAATAAAGATTTTATGAAAAAATTTCTACATATTCTAACAAAATGATTATGGTAAATTCATCATAATAAAAATAAAAGTAATCATACATTTGAATATGCAAATATATGATAAAAAAAATCAATACACCCTATTTATACTATTAGTGATATATGATATGCAAAGAATTTTCTTCGATTTTCTTAATATGTTGTCGTTCTAGTGTAACATAGAAACATGCTCGAAGGCTTATAGGCTTTATACGCATGGATGCTCCTAGTGAATTGTAGCTTCGCCCTTTTTTCACTACTCTCTCTCTCTCTCTCTCTCTCTCTATATATATATATATATATATATATATATATATATATCGATTAATAGGTATATTAGACAAATGAGGCGCTTTATCAATAGGAAGTATAATTCATAGGAATTCATGCGATCGTCTGAGTGCTAAACGACCGTAAGCAAAGTGTTATAGATACGACCATGAATGGATATAGAAAACGATTGGCAGAAGACAAGAAATATGATATATCTTGTTGTTTATGTACGTGACTATGATGATGAGGTCTTTCTTCCGATAACAATCATTGTCATTCATCGTCAATAATAGAACAGAAGAAAAGAGAAAGGAGAGAAAAATCATCTACTCGGAAAAAAAAACGAATTATCGGCCTCATCGCTATGTGTTCACATTCTTTTTAAAGAAAAGACTCTTCTAACGTCTTTTACTTAGCATAAGAGAATCGAGGGTTGGTTGGTTGTTCTACTATCTCCGAATGAACAATATTTTATACCGATTGTCACATTGACACTGCAAGTAGATACAAGTATATTTCTATTTTCCGATTAACACCAGCGGCGATTAAAAAAACTCAACTATTCTGATTCCAATGAACGGTCATTTAATATGAAAGTCTTATCGAAAACTCAACAAGATTATTGATCAATCTTTACTTTGAAAAACAAATCTCAAGAATGAATAAGAAATTAAACAAGAAATATTTTCTCAATGATCAGGTAAATTAATAGAGAACAATTATTTTCTTTTTCTAATACAAAAATAGTTATAGCATGTGCAATTAATTATATAGCTACTTTATTCGCGTTTATTTGTGAATGTAGTCAACAATAATAATTATATGTTTAATTGTTATAATTACTGAACAATAATATATTCTATTTTTCCTTGATTATGTTTTCATAAACCTAAGAATAAGTTTATTTAAATGAGTATTAATTTATGACAACAATAACTTCATATGTTAGTCATTCGTCAAAAATAAATATTTGGTATATGCGATTGCTGTTTTACTAACTACACAAACGATGTAAGAATAAACAGTACGATTTTATGACAAATATGGTCTTGTTATTTTTTTAATATAAAAGATTGAAGGTTATGATATAATCCAGATAAAAATAATGTATTACAGTTTAAAGATCTTCGTACATAATTGAACATCAATGCTTGATAATAACAACTTTTTTAATAGAAAAAGAATTTCTCTAGGGTAATAAATATTATTAACTTTAGGACTATCGTGAGTTCTACTTAAAGCTTTTCATTGAATAAAATCCTATGATATATATATATGTCGAAGTTGACTCTAAAATTCAGTTGACTTTAAAACAGATCGAAATATTTCTTTGTTTTCTTTCCAGCTATTCAGAAATATTTTAAAGTCAACGCTAACATATATATATATATATATAATATGTAATTCAAATATAATAGCAAAAAGAATTAGATTCGTGTATATCTCTTTTGTTTCACGAAAGAAATTTTTATTCATTCATTTAAAATGTTCTCGTGTTTCAAATCAGATATAATTAACTTTTCTTCAACATTCATCAGTCTAATGGTGTCAGAAGGAAGGATGTCAGTCAGGAAAATGATTCCTTTCATTTTAGCAAAATAACAAGATAATAGTACAATCTTTGTAAAAGGCTTGACTAAGTTACTATTGACGAACGTACCCAGTTTCATGCATTACGATAAAAATCCCGGAGATTTCTTATTATGACAGAGATTTATCAAACTAGAAAAATAATGCAGATGTTAAATGAAGTAGAAAGCTGAATCATGCAGTTCAAAATAATGACTGCTTTGATATTAATATGACATCGACTTTATGCTACTTTTCTTGATGTATCAAAGAAAACATCAATGTGAATATATAAATAATAATAGTTTTCTTGAGAAAAAAAAACAGTCTATAGTAAATTAAAAAATTCCAACAAAAACAAGAAAATTGTTGTAATGATAAGAAATATACTTTGCTAGAGAAGCACAAATAATGAAATTAATAATATGAAATCGATCATTTATTCAACATGTGTCAGTTATCGAGAAAATCGCTCGGTAAAGATATCTGTGTTGAGTGCTGCTCGAAATTTATCAAACTTTTCAACAAGATGTCAAGTATATATGTCGATGAAGTAATCAACACCCTATTCAACTATGACAAAATAAGAAATTCCTAAGGTTCCTAATAAATAAAGTAGAGTATAAAAAAAACCTATAAAAAAAAGAGTACATCAACTTGTGTACCATTGATTAACACTCTTTAAAGCAATAAAGGAAATTATTTTTTTTTAATATCCTTTCGCATTGTAAATGATATATTTGTTATCAAGTATACATGTAGGAACTTTTCCGAGAAATGACGACAGGAAATTTTTCATTAATAAACTTGATGATTTTATCTAGAAATTTTTCAAAAGATTTTTATAAAAAATATATTAATGAGCATCATGTACACTTCTATAAGACTGCTTGAATCGGTTGATAAAAAATTGAATAATAGAAAATGTTTTCACAATAGATTCCACTCGGTTACAAAATTGCTTTAGCTTTCTGCTATAAAACGTTTCTTCGAAAGTTCTTCTAAGAATTGTAAGTTTGTTGTGCGAATGTTTTTCCTTCTTCCTGAGTAGTTTTTTCGATGAGTTCATATGTAATTCGAAATGAAAAGAAAATTTCTATCGAACCATTGACAAAACAAAATTGTAATTTTTCTTTGAATCTACTCATCCTAGACACAATATAGACTCATATGTCGTATGATGACTTTTATATCGGATGTTATTTTTTTCCAAAGAAAACAGAAACAGTTTATAAGTTAATACTTGAACAGCTGATCACACAGATTCATTTCCTGTTTCATCCATATGACACATTATTTCAATATTCTACTAACTATTTCAGCCTAGAAATTACATTTATTAGATTCTCACTATCATAGACATTATATAATATAAATATGAATTCAAAATTCGTAAGTGCCGAAAGCAAACTGGGCGCACCATTCCTTACAATGAAGGTAATATAAATATTATTTAACTCATTTGTGCTTTCAATTAATTGATTGAAGTCTAGTAGAAAAAAGAAAACAATTTCTTAAATTTAAATCAACATGAAATGAATTGTCTTGTTTTTGGAGTCTGGTATTTTTAGATCGATGTAACTATTCAAATCGCTGTGGCGATGCCAGATTAGAAGGAGCCGGTTTTCGTGACATCACTGAAAATAAGTAAGACGCGACAACTCGTCCTGAATTTGAACTAGTGAATGATCCTATATTATTGCGTTGTTATACCATGACTTTGTATATATGTATGTTGTAGGCAAAATTGGAATTCGGGCTGCCCGAATTCCAATTTTGCCTACAACATATATTTACTTACGAAGCTATGTGAAAAGTTATTATTGTTCTCCGTTTACTACATCTTCATAGCAGTCGTTAGAACTAGCAAACTCTCGGTTAATAGCCTATGAAGTATTTCATCTTATGATGATACATAAAGACAATATATAAACCATAGGCATATGTCTTAAACAGATATTGGTTGTCATATTTATCTCTACACAGTTAACAATGTCTGTTGTAATAGTTCTTGCAAGATAAGCATTAGTCAACAAACATATAGGAATATTTATTATTGTAATTATGGCGAGAGTCGAGTATTCTAAAGAGTTTTCGTTCTTTTCACCGATTGTGATCAACAATTGTTGTTTACAAAATTTTCTTCTAAAATTTGGTATTTCCATTGATTTTTACTTCAGCTTATATGAGAGTATCAAACTGGTTTATAATCAACTTTCACTTACCTGATTTTCATAGTTTCTGTGTTCTCATTTGCTTTAAGTATTGCAAAGTAAAGCATTGAATTTTAACAATCGAACTTCAACAGTTCCAGATTTCACTTTCGATCTTATTCTCTTGGTATTCATGACATAGATTCGAAAAGAAGCTTTTCATTTTAGCAATTTTTATTCTAATTCTAAATGATGATTTAATCTGAGTGTATTTACTACCATTTAATTGATTTTAATTATTAGCTATTAAGTGATTGTTGTTAAAAAAAAATGAAAACCTGTATGAAATGGATTGTTTTTCTACAATAAAAGTTTAATCGCTAAAGATAAACAAATAATCGCATCAATTATACAAAACAGCACTATTCTAGTTGTTCTTTTAAAGTAGAAAAGAACCATGACAGATAATTAGTATTGACCTACTTCGGATATGGTAAAGATTTATGTTTGTTTTTATCCATCAACTAGCCTATATGCTAGAGTTGACGTAAAAATTCGTCATACATTTTATTGTTAAATATTTATTGGTTCTCAACAGAGTTTAACATGAAGGTAAATATTTCATTCGTTATTTCCTTGTTGACTCTCACATACAAGAAAAGAAAACTACTATAAGCTATGGCTTATTGATTAAGAAATATTTTACAATATATACATCGGCATTTATAAAAATCTTAACTAAATTATTATAATGATTTAACTATTGCAATAAAAAGTATGTTGTCAAACATATGCAACAAAATTTGTTTCTCTATATTTTTCTCCCTAAAAAAAATATAGTTACTTCATCTCTATATATATTTAAGCATCGATAACATTTTTTTATGCTTCATTTCATGACTATGCCGGTAAGTTCTATAAAGTATTTATAAACCATTTTGATAAGAAATAACTTTAATGTAAGCATGCTAGATTGTATGCATAATTTCATGTTCTGTTTCTGTACTTGTGGCAGTGAACTAATGAATTAAGAATACTGTCTTATTCTCAAGTGCTTGTCATTTTTTAAAAGGTTGATATATATATATATATATACATATATATATATATAACTAAATGTCTTCATGCGTCCATTAGAGAAATTTGCTTTACCAGTTAGTAAAATAAGTAAAACACAACTGTAGACTATTCAAATAATATCGATCTTTTGGGAAAAGCAAAAAAAACAACAATGATTACTATTTTTCATCATCTACAACAGGAGGAATCAATTAGACGTATACAGGTAAAATGAGTGAATGAACTACGCGTATATAGGATATATAAAATATAAAATTAATTGGTAATTTTTCAAGTTTTCTTTTTGTTAATAAATTGCATCGAATATCAATATAATTCTAAAAGCGTTTTTCAAAATAATTTTACAGAGATACTATATTTTTTTAACTACATTGGCTACTTGACCACAATTAAATTATGTTCTAGTTTTATTGAATTCAATTATCATCTATTATAATTGCATGTTAATGACAAGTCTATTTTTAATTTCGATAATGCACGGAATCATTACAACTCTCGGCTATTAATAGGATAAATCTAATATTTATTTGATTTTTCTTTTATTAGAAATAGCCTGAAGTTCTTTTTTTCTAACTTTTGTATCATTATGATACTTGTACCGGCGGAAAAATAACGAGTAACTATTTTATGTTATTCATAAGAAATCGATAAGTTACTTTTATTTATCAAGATATTGAATATGAAAATCATTTAGTAAAAAGGAAAAACTACCATAACGAGAGAGAGATAGAGTAAGAGAAAATATGAATATCTACTAAATGTGAGAAACATCGATTCGATAAGATAAGAAAATGTGTTTGGTATTTCGATAGAAATAAATCTATCGTTTTCTAACATATTTTCTCATATTCTTTCCTTTTCTGATTCTATAGTTCACAGTCGTCAACAACTGATAATAATCTCCTGGTTAAGATAAGTTTGACATCTGTTTCATTTTTAATCAAACCGATTAGTGCTTCGAACTATCATGAATAAAATAGTAGAAAAGCACGAAAAATCATGATATAAGTAATCATATCAAGAGAATAAACAAAAGGCCGATGAGATTAAAAAGAAAAGATCTATATCTTAAAAACAAGAGAAGTGCAGTGGATGTCAAAATTATTCATCCACTTCTACAATCTACTTCTACTTTATTTGCTATTCAAACACTATCAAAGCTAGAGGGCTCCAGTTTCCACCATCGTAGAGTCCACTAGTTCTAGTATATAGAAATCTTCCACCAATACTAACTATGAACTGAAAGTACTACTTTCGTTTAATCTGGGTGAATAATTTTTTGCAGCGCTAAAACTTGCTTTTGTTTTTATACTTTTTTAAATAAATCAGACATTAAAGTAAACTAGAGCCATAAAATGCTCATCGAACGAGTGGCGCAAAAAGAATTAGACTGTTTGTATTTCCGAATTTTTTCCTCTACTAACCCTTTGATTGAAATACTTTTTATCAAAAGATAGCGCTTGAAATTCTACACGAAAAGGTATGCCTTATTTAACGAATATAGGCTCCTCCATTTTTTTTTGGATTAGACCCCATGTTGCGAATACCGGATCATTTCTTGCGGTAAACCGCGGTATTTATCCTTCCTGCGGTAATGGGAGCCAGTAGCCGAACCGGTAAAACCGCGGTTAACCGTCGATTTTCATGCGGTTTTTATTACATGGGGCGTAATCGTACAGTAAAATCAAGTACAGAATGTAAATTTTTTTCTTTTTTTAATGTTTTTGACAGAACATTCGATTTCGTCTATCATTGTTGCTATTGTTGTTATGTTGTCCCAGCCGATAGATTCAGCCAATTCATTCCATAAACTGTAATCTAATGGACATAAATCAGGCGAATTTTGTGGCCAACGATCCTTCGAAATAAAATCAGGATTAGCACACCACTCTTGAGTCACGTGATGTATGTGAGGTTTTGCTCCATCTTGTTAATATGTCCAGTAGTTTCCTAATATATTGCTGCCGCATTTACGAGCTATTGGAAGAACTTCTTTGATGTACCTTTCCGCATTCATAGTATCATCTTCAAAAATCACTGATGTTGTTAAACCTTCACTGCATACACCAAACCCTACCATCACCTTTGTTGGAAATTTTGCTTTTTGATGCATACCACCTTGTCTATCTACCTCTTCCCTGCTGACCGTCCGTACACGATCGTTCTGAACATTGTATACACCATCTAAATCAAAATACTTTTCGTCAGTAAACAGTCATTTTTAGGTTTCTTCTTTGGTGTAATGATTTAATACCCAATTTGCAAATTTAACTCTCTTCCTTTTTTTTGAAGATCAGTCAAATTTGGCTGCTTGATTTTCTTGTACGGGAAACAATCAAGATCTTCACGTAATATTCTCTGGATACTTCTTCTTGAAATATTCATTTCAGCAGCCAATCTTCTTGTTGACACTTGTTTCTTCTGAGCTAGACGGTGTTTCACCTTTAAGATATTACTTTTTGTTCGAACTGTGTGTGGGCGATCGGAAGAATAAGACAAATTGATAGATCCTGTGTCCTTGATCATTTTAATCCACAATTTAATTGTTGGTAATGCAACTACTCCACCTAAATCACGAAAAATTTTCGTCGCTCCATCACCACTTTCATATTCATTTTTTACAGTTGTTTGTATCTCTTTACTTTTCATGCTTTTTCAAATATGACTAAAACAATTTTTGATCCCAATCATATACGGTTTTGTAGAGAATTTCAACCTTCATCTTTTGATAGAAAAATATGTCTCAATCTAACGGAGAATAAAAGAGAAATATTCAAAATACAAACAGTTTAATTCTTTATGCGCCACCCACTATATACTAGAACTAGTGAACTCTACGATGGTGGAAACTGGAACCCTCTAGCTTTGATAGTGTTTGAATAGCAAACAAAATAGAAGTAGATTGCAGAAGTGGATGAATAATTTTGACATACACTGCAGGTCGTTCTAGTCTAACATGAAATAGATATCTTTACTGATACTCTGTGCAGGTTTCATTTTTTATATTTTCCATTAAATTGATCGTTATTATTTTATATCGATAACAACAATTAAGAACGTATATAATTCACTTTCGAAAAGAAGTTGATTATTTCTTTATCTTTGATCAATTAACGGCTACCATGATACACTATAGGGTGAGTTCTAATTCTAAACGATTGTATCTCATGAATATGATATTGTCTAGCTCTATATCTGATAAGTTATATATTTTATGTATAATAAAGATTTGGTGATGATATTATCTGTTAGCATTGTCGCTCAGTTATATAGATCAAGAAATAGATGCATGCACAACGATAGGTAATTTATATCTGATATCATTCAACACTTTATTAATGATATCATCATACTGAGACTCTGAAAATAGAAATAATATCTGAAAAGCAGAAACGTTGTTGTCTCGACGCAAAATATATTTTGGAATTTTTATTATTGAATGAATTTCTATGAATACTAGCAATGTAATCGATTTATTTTAATTGTTAATTTTCCTATAATAAAATCATTCATGCTTGCTTCACAACAAAAACAACAACAACAACAGGATGACAATGATAATGAAAAGAATTTCTTAGGATTTTGCTCGTTTTGCTTGGTAAGATATTTTAGAAAAATTAGAGTTAAAATTAGAGACTTTTAATTGACAAAATTAATATATTGAACAATTTTGTTTGGCAGGAATTTGAAGTTGGTCCCAGTAAGCAGCAAAATTGGAGAGGCCTATGCATTGCCTTCGTAGTCATTACTATTATTTGTCTATTCATTTTGTGTGCCATGCTCCTAGCAAGCATGCGTAAGTGAAAAGTTTCTTTATTAATGTAATTATATAAAATCGAAATACTTCATTTTAGAACGAGTAACGTCTCAAAATGAACTTCTTTCGATAACTGAAGAGGATATCGTTAATATAAAACCACCTAAACCGTTAGTTGCTATTTTTTTCTTTTTCTTGTTTTTTTCTTATTTACTTTTATTTCATTTGATGAAATATAGTTGGAATGGGACATGGATATCTGATAAATATTTTTCCTATTTGGATATAAATGATTCAATATGGATCTATAATTGTGATACACTAAAAGAAGAATTATTATTTCGAAGACATATTATACAACAAGAAAATATTGGCCATGGAATTGTTTCTCCATCAGCAAGATATATTCTTGTACCAATTAGAAAGGAAAAAGTAAACAAAATTAATCATGAATGCTCATTCCGAAATAATTTTGTTTTTTCTATTAGATACGTCCATATTATACTGATTATCAGTATGATCTTTATGAAAAGTCAAAAATGATCGCACCAATGAGTTTTTCTGACCAACAAAAAATTTCTCTATCAGCTGTTTTATATTCTCATTCAGATCATTTATTTGTAAGTGGTTTCTATTTTTCTTATCATGTTAAAAACGCATAAGAGAAGTCTATTTTTAGGCTTTTATTCATAATTTTGATGTTTACATATATGATATCAACACAAAAACAAGTTACCGAGTAACATCAGATGGCAATCGTAGTACTATACATAATGGTCTGGTCGAATGGATTTATGAATGTAAGATTACAGAAAACTTCCGCACATTTTTCTTTCATATTGAGCTGTAAAGGAAGAAACGAATTGATTTACTCATCATGAATTTTACATCATAAAAAAAGAACAGATAAAGAAGCAAATGATTAATAAGATAGTTTGCACATATTATCAGAATGATTTCATTAAAATTTAGAATCTGAGAAGATATGTAGCTAATAGTAAATTTTCATTATGTTTAAAATGTTCTAATCTGATTATCAATTATTAAAAAAAAAACGTTTGAGTTGCAAGGATTTTTTTATTTTCGAACTGTACTCTCACAAATAAGAAAATATGTAATAACTATCGTTTTTGTTGTTTAGATGAAATTTTCAATCAAAATATTCTTCTATTTTGGTCACCAAATGATGATTATTTAGCTTTTATTAAAATGAATCTAACAAAAATACCAAAGGTTCATTATTTACGGTATGACTTAACATTGGAAAATGACGATCAATATTCTATACCATATCCAAAATACAAAGATCCACTACCGTTGATTGATGTTTGTATCTATAATTTGAAATCTAGAAGAATTTTCTCTGTACCACGACCGATCGAATACGGGAAAACGTAAGATTAAATTTTCAAATCATCTTTTTATGAATCATCATCTAAAATTTGTGCCCAAGTATAAGACTGAAAATTGGAATTGATATAGATTTATCATAGAAATATCTCCTCCTAACTCTCTGTCACAGACCATATATAAATAACAGTCTACTACGTGTAACTCTCTTCAATCTATTTTTGGATGACAATGTCAAGGAAATGTGTATTCTAACGTAGGCAGGATAACAAGATTTTGTCATCGATTAGTCAAATAGTGTGCCATATGTTAATTCTTCTGCGTTTTTTGTTCCAAATAATATTTATTCCTTGATTAAAATTTTTTAGTAAAAAATCAGATATATTCGTCTACCATGTTGTTTGGTGTGGCGATACTTGTTTATCTGTTGTTTACGGAAATCGTTTGCAAACTTCAACTATAATTCAATTATATGAGATTCATAATGATAAAATAATGTTTAAATCTAAATTTATTGATGAGACACGAAAACCTCTTTTGCTATTACGTTTTCTTAAACCATATTTTTCATCGAATGGTACATATGCTTATATGATACGGTTCGATTCATTAACTATTGGTAAATCAACACGAAAAATTTTCCCACGTGTTGTAAGAATACTTTTTAATCAAACAGTATGTTTCTTTGGCATCGATAAAATAAAGTCGGTAATTTATTTCTATTCGTACTTTTTAGTATCCACAAATAAATGCTAAGTCACCCGAAGACATCAATGCAGATGAAATAATTCATGTTAATAGTTTAGGTCAAGTTTATTTTACTGGATCACCTCATAATGATTCATTGGCAAAACAAGTTTATCGGTAAAATTCGTGTCTTGTTTTGCGTTCAGTTTTTTAAAATTTAGCTTTCGATAAAAATAGATGGAGTTTTTCATATTCGAAATCTCATATTGAATGTCTATCATGCAATGAATCATGTGGTTACGCTACTGCTCAATTTAGTCTTCGCAATGGAAGTTATTATATACTTGAATGTTTTGGACCATCAATACCTTATTCAACATTATATAATCAAAAAGAAAGATTAAGTAAAAAATAGATTTTCTTCTTCATTCTATTTGATTGGAAATATTTTAATTTTTTTTCTAGTTCTTATCAATTACAATGAGCCCTATAGAATGTGGGTCCAGGCTCGATTAATGCCTCATATTGAGTATTTCACAGTACCATTAGATCAAAAAGATACAGGTAAACAATAATTTATATAGTGTAAAAGAAGAATTTTCATTTGTACTTTACTATTTTGAATTGCCCCAATAGAAAGAGCTTTTTTCGCGAAACCACAAACACTTTAGCAAATAAAAGAAAATATGAATTTTAGCTTCTCCTTACTGTTAGATTCTATCTTCAACTCAGACGCCGATTATGCTTTAATTATATTAATTTAAAAAGGTTTTAGTGTCATGGTAATAAGATTCAAACGAAAAGCACGGCGGTCCTGTTGCTATCAAGGATACAAATATGATTGTATTCTATCTATTTTGGGATGAGTTTTTCCTCTAGGATTCCAATGATTTAATTAAATATAAATGACATTAAGAAGTTAGTTTATATTGCGACCAAAATAATAAAAATATGATCGTTGATTCTATATCAAAAATAGAATTACCACATAAAAAAAGAAAAGGCAATATATAGTACCCGTTTCTAGCTTGATACTTCAGGAGTCCTTTTTAGATTATATTTCACAGAATAATGTTATGTAACCTTCAACATGACATTATTTTAAGAAAATCATATACAATATTTATAGTCAACACGTTCCCACAGGAACAGTACCATCTTCATCTAGAAAAGTCTCATTTCATGTCATTATGCACTGATAGATCAAGTCTTCAGTACTAGTATATGGAACCGATGTAAAATTCAACTCGCCCATTAAACAAATGCAGATAAAGAAATAAAATATATTTTTCTATAATTAATAGCAGTATATTGAATTCTAATCATTCGATCACACTGACATTTTCCTTTCAAGCTATTGATTTAATCGATCATCGGCTAATGTGAAACTTTTATATATATTCTCAAGATCTTGAAACCGACTAATAAATAATATTCTAAGAGAAATGCTTAGCATATTATTCTGTCTTACGATTGAAAAATAGTAAAATTATCGTAACACATTACAGTGAGCTTCTCAATCGAAACTATTCTGGTATTACTCTACGCTAAATATCTTACCTGTAAGTTCATAACACAGTTTGAGAATTGACGAACAACAACTGTTGAACTACAATACGATAATTTTATAGGTGAACGTTATGTTCTTTTACATGATTTAATTTGGCAACAAGATGTTAACTATAGCTCATCGTTATTAGATCCTCTGCTCAAGAAATACTCTTTTTTGTTTTTACTAAAGATCGTGTTTTCTTGGAATGTTTAGTCAATTTTTATGAATTCTATATATTTTATATTAATAGTTGGACATGGAATGATTATTTTACCCCCGAAGTACAATCCAAACGTGACAATATTATCTTATTCAGTCATTGTAATGATGTAAGACAGTGAAATTAAATCATCATTATTCATCTTATCTGTTTTTGTATGTTTGAATTCTAGGAATGATCGATTGTCTATTCAACGCGTAAATAAAAAATATGTTCAACCATTTACAGAGTATTTATATATATATATGTAAATCCTAATTACAAGAAAATCTTTATTTTCTCTTCTAATCTTAGATTTATTCAAGTTATCCATGATAATATTAGCATTGTTCTATTTGATGCACACGGGAGTGCAGGACAAGATGAAAATTATTTAAAAAGTAATTTTCAAGATTGGTTCGAACAACAATATGAGGATTATATTAAACTTGCACAGTAAGAAAACGAAAGACAGTCCAGCGAGACAGTTTATGGATTTGATTTTAATTTTATGTAGACATCTTAAACGGAATGAAAAAAAATTTAATGGAATATTCAATCATGCAAGATTTGGACTTAAAGCACGCGTAAGGATTTAAAATCGGAGACGACAAAATTCGATTTGGTTTTGTATAACCATGATTGGATGATCTTGGAGAATTCTATTGAGTGCATATGCTTGTTTAGGGTTAAATGGAAATAAAAGACGAGCTTTATAACTATCTATCGTTTTCACAAATCCTGATAGGAATTAGGAAAAAAATGAAATTTCTTCATTATTTATCTTCCCCGCAAAAATCGTACAGATCAGTGCCTTGCTTTATCCCCAAGTCTAGTAACAAATAAGCAGATTATGAGCGAAAGCAAAATTCTGATTGGAAAAAATAGGGCCGTAGGTGTTAGCCTTAATTTAATAGAATGTCGTTCTTTTCATAGTCGAGCCGTATAAGTGCTCCCGGAAATAGCAAATAAACTATGACTTAATAGGATTACCAATATGAAGTATGAAATTAAGCTGACATGCTAATTTTTTTAAATGTTCTTTGAAATTTTTGATAGATCCTTGAAAATTGCGGCCTGAATTGATCTTGTTAAATCAGAGGCTCCAACAGATTCAAAATAAAAAAATATGCACAAGCTTCTTGGATATTCTCGTTTCTTTCTAATTTAATGTCGTTTTCTTTATTGCGATCATTTATTCTCGATTCGACCGTCATTAATAATCATTGATTGATTAAATCAATCTATATTTTAGGGCCCAGCTGCTGTTGTTGCATTGAAATTATTAGAAGAAAGCATTAAGAACAACGAAGAATATGTATGTGCATTTCTTCAATCACCTGTCAATGATTTATCGCATTATCGTAAGATTTTAGTTTTTCTTTGATTTGTCGATGGTCACTTCATTTATTTTTATAGATGCCATTTTTAGTGAACGAATGAATGGATTAAAGGTTGATGCAACGTCTGTAAGGGACCGAACTAGAACTTTATCCTTTTGAGAGTTTTTATTTTTATTTTTAAGTCTCACCCGTTAAATATTCGCAATAAGAGTATAGCTATTGTTCATGGAACAGCAGATGGTAACCGATGAAATTTTTAATCAAATAACTTTTGTTCATTTTTTTTGCCTTTTTAGAAGTTGTACATTTTAAACATTCAGCAACTTTAGCGAAATCTCTGATTGACAGTGGCATTACGTTTGATTTCAAAGTACACATTTGAAATCGTATTTGAAGAATATATTAAACATTTTGTTTTCTTTTTCTTCTTCTTCTTCTTCTTTTTTAAAGGTTTATCCAGACGCGGATCATTATTTGGAATTAAATCCAACATTATATAATGACACATTCAATTATCAACGGCGATTTTTTAGAGAATGTCTTACTGATCGAATTAAGGAGAAGCCAAAAATAATGCTAACAGAAGAACACGAGTAACTGAATTTAAAAACTAAAGGAGCAAAATTATCACATTTTATCTAGTCAAAGAAAAAACTGTTTTATATCTATTAAAACTCGAATGTAATTCGCCGTTTGATATTTTTTTTCGTTTTTCTTTTGTGCATATGTATTTTTTCCAGCTCAAGATTTTTTGTATCAGCTAATTCTTGTGTTTTATTGACCAACGAAAATAATAAACCTGTACAGACAGATATCAGATCAATAATGTATTGAATTGTTTATGTAAATCAAACGAAGTCATCTGGACTTATTACTAATAAAAAGCATCATGAAAAATGCTCTTTAGTCTATGAAGTATTATTATGAATTCAAAGCTTAAATATATTATTTTTTGATAAAGGAATTTAAAAAATGTGTCATCCTCATATATGTACGAATTTTAAGAAAGTTTAAAGAGCAGTTTGACGTATAATCTGTGGAATAAGATATCCGAAGGAAATCACTTCTAACCAGGGGCGGCAGAGCGTCATTAACCTAGGTGAGACTCGTAATATTTTTTTTTCTATTGTGGAACTTTATGAAAGCTTCAAGCAGAAAATGAGTCTCTTTTTTTATTGAACTTCAGTAAAAATAAAAATGGTCAGTATAAAAACTGAGATTGGAAAATACCAAAATATACTTTTCTTTACTCCTATTTTGATGCAAGAATAGAAAAATAGCAATAATCAGTAAAAAAGCAAGTGAGGCTGAGCCTCATCTTGTGAAATCTAGGTGAGGCTCAAGCCTCATGAGTCTCAGTGACTCCGCCGCCACTACTTCTAGCTAATTCAGTTTTTTAACTCATAATAATAATATCATGGGCGATATCAAAATGTATAGTTTTAATGTTAGCTCTCTTAGTATCAATCAAGCAAAGCTTTGGCCTAGTAGAAATAACCAATTCATTGTAAATAGTATTAATAGTAGACGAGATAACAATGGATTTCTCCTGTGACATGTATATTAGGTTAAAAATTGAAGAGAACCGATGCATGATCATCTTCTTAGCGCTTCTTAACAAGGAAAACAAAGTTAACAATCTATGCAACAAATGGCAGACATGGTTGAAACATACAATAGCCTGTCTTGAAGTGCCCTGAGCTAGAAAATTCTTTTGATACTTTGTTAGACGTACAACACTATAATACTTGCCAATTTGAAATATTCAGCATGAAATCGAAGCGATCTACTGTGCCATAGTCGATTGCTGAATTTTAATAATGATCGTCTTAAAATCACATACTTTTCACGAAATACCCATAATTAGGTCGAGATCCGCTGAAGATCCATCAAGTAACTAGATATTCATAGCGAACTTACTTTTCAAAAAAATAAATTATAAAACGAATAGAAATCACTTTACGAAAATAAAATAAAACTTGGCAATCATTAGTACATCAATATGAGCAATGCAAATATAATCTAGTAGAAGTCAAAGAAAAGAAAATCATGTCTATTTATAATGCAAGAATAAATAAATTAGAGAGTACTTCTGATAATTGACTGCTATTGAACGACAATGATCATGCGTGAGATATTCTTCGTTTCACACATTTCATATTATTATAATTATTGTTATTGTCTTGCCGAAGAAGACTGTTGACATTCGTAAGAAGAGTGTATGAATACGACTGATTTTCGATATAGAAATCTAAATTTGTTATAGTTTTCAGAGAATTATAAATAATTTTGGAAAAAATTGAAGAATTCTCCTAAGCAAAACAAACTCAACTTTTCATGCATGTTTGCAGAGTGCAAATTATTTCTAGCCTCACTTCATCACAAGTGCTGTTATGTCATCGAAATGCAATTATCGATTTTTTCTTGTCTATTCCTTTTTCTGACTATTTTTATGTTTCATCCTCAGGTCATTATGACAGTTAATAGGTGCTAAACAATTTGACAGGCGAACGATGAACTTTTGATTGGCAATTTAAAATCTTCGTTCAACAAAGAGTTCAATGTAGAAAAATGTCTCTGTTTTTTGATTTATTTCCTGAAAATAGTAGTTGAGAATTCACACGAAAAAAAAACACATTGCATTTAGTTTCATATATATTCGCACCCTAAATTAATGCATATAAACATTGTTGTTAGTAAATAACACTAGAGAATTGTATTCAGCTTAAATTCAAAAGAAAAATGGCACCATCTAAAATTAAAATCTTTTTCTGATTTAGTGCGTCGTATATAATAGAAAAATGATATTTTAACACAAACATACTTATTCGAGATGAAAAAAGAAAAGAACTAATTAAACATACAAAATATGATTAGTAAGGGCACAAATAAATAAAGAACTACTATGTTTTTAGTACAAGTCTATACAGAATGAAAATAAATACTAGCTGGCAGATTTAACTATAAATCATAATCTTGATTTGATATAATCAAATCATCTATGATATATGTCTTGTTAATGTATATTTTCATTTTTTTCATAAACAGTAATAATAATACAACAATAACAACAACAACAACAAAAAGAATTAGGATTCACAAATATATGACTGTGTGATTTGCTCAATCTGACAAATAAGTATGAAAGTAAACACCGGAAAAAATAGAAAAAAAAATCTATTTCATTAATTATTCTAATCTTCGGCACCACTACTGTCGAATTTTAATTTAATTGGAGATTTTCGACTAAAAGAAAACAAAAATATGCTTATATAAATGATAAAGATGAAAAATCTTACGAATAAATAAGATTATTATTGGTATCGTCATCTGAATCATTGGGGAAAAGACGAACCCGAAGTGGATCAGTAGGAACCGGTGGTGGTGGTGGTGGCGTCCTAATAGATAGAAAATTAAGATATATGTAAGATGAAATATAGATTCATTTGTATTTTTCTCATTAAGGTTTCAATTCTAAAGAAATACAACAATTTGGTTTTTGAACTCAAAAATGTCAATTGATTACAGATTTAAACCGAAAATTTTCTCTAGCAGAAGTGGCACAAATTCAAATAAAACACAATGGGTACCGGTAACTACTCGTATAAAATTGCTAAATAAATAATTTCATAGAAAAAAGAAACAAAGAATCAGGATATTGTGCAGCGAAAACAAGATAAGCTGATTTGTTACTAGTCTTCTCACAGACTGTAACCGTTCATATAAAACGAAATGGCGTGAAACTAACTATACATGCAACCTACAAAAAGAATGGGTCTAATTTACACCGAATTTATTATTTTATACAATCCGTTTCGCCTATCAAGAGAAATTAGACCATGATCAAAACTTACAGAGTATGATGATGAATAGCAATCTGTCTAATTTCCTCTATAAAGAAAAGAAAACTATTTTTTGGAAGTCAAAAAAATAATTTGTTTCAAACCATCTGAATGTTCTTCGTGATAACCCGTATAATTAGGTGGTCGTTTGGGTTTTTTAGTCGGTGTACGACAACCATGGCTAGCCGGTGAAGTAGTACTGTTTGATAATGAGAGTGTCTAAAAAAAACGAGAAATTCAAAGGTAAACATCTGTCAAAAACCAAACTTTCTTTTCATCTAACCTGTTCATGTTTTTGTTGATTAAATGCAAATGGTGAAATTAAATGGCAAATCTAAACAAATCATCATGGTAATTATTTCGAAAAACGAAATTTTAAATTAATTAATTTCTTACTTCTTCACGTATCATAAGATTATTGAGTACATCTTTCGCTGTAGGTCGTTGCTTATAATTCGAATGAATCATTCGAAAAAGAAGTTCTTTTAATTCGATATCAGTCAATACTGATATGATTTCTAATGGCAATCTTAATTCTCGAATATCTGTCCAAAGATCACCATTCACAGGTAAATCAAAATCACTAACTAATTCAAAGGCTGCTAAACCTAAACTAAATACATCAGCAGCTGTTGATATCGTTCCCGATAAAACTTCAAATGCAAGATAACGTGCATCGCCATCTTGTGCTAACGTTGATGGCTAAAACAAATACAAAAGGAAAAAAATTTAATTAACTTCAATTTCTTCAAATAGAATAAATTGTTCTCTTACACTTCGTAAATCATGTACAATGCCAAAGTCACAAAGTTTCAGAATTCCATCATGTGTAATTAAAATATTTTCTGGTTTAACCTTGAATTAATAAAAAAAAACATCTGTGAGCACAATTCCTTCAGGATTACAAAATAGAACATAAATTAATTGTTATTGCCTATAACGAGTACACTACTTTATTTAATCTATTGCGAGAGAAATTATTTAATCATGGCATAACTGTGTCTTTTAAAATTAAAATAAGAAGATAAAATATATATTATAACCAGTAGTTATTAACATGTAGTCTATGACTAGAAGTTTGAAGGTGTTATTTCGAAGTCTGTAAAAGATTTTAAATGTTACTCTCATTTATCAGAATAGTATATATTTTGCAGCTATGACTCACAGGCATAACCAAAAGACATGTCATTTATCAAACTTTGCACTTGCATCAAATCGGAACTTTTAGCACTCGTCGAAAGTCATTACTGTGAAAGTCATGTTTCTCCATATTGCAATGCTCCTGTTTGAATCGTCGTTGACAAGACTTCAAATTAAAGAAACTATTTTGAATACTTACATCCATATGAACGTAATCTAATGAATGAAGAAAATCGAGAGCCTAAAAGAGATTTAATTCAAATAAAAACAAAAATTGCTTCCAGTTTTCTTTTATTCATACTTGGCTTATTTGATAAAGAAAATGCCAAATCATTGGTTGACTTATTTGATGTTCTGCTGAATAGTCCAGTAAACTTTAAAATCAAATCAAAAGGTAGCTTTTTTTTGTTAAATTGACCACTCCGCTTTACATACTTGCTTTCACAGAGTTCTGTTTGAATGTATAAACGCTCACGTTCTTCCCATGCATGAATTATGTTAAGAATATTTCTATGTGTAGCAAGTGTTTCATGAAAACGAACTTCTTTTAGTTTTTGATCACTAGAATTGAATTTAATAAATACTTTTCTTTTCTTTTTAAAAAAAAGTTCATACCGATCGGATTTACCACGAAATTTAGTTAGCGAACGTTTAATAGCATATAATTGGTTATCTTCTTTATGACGAACTTTATATACCTTGAAAGAAGAAAACAAAATTATTATAAAATTACAAAATATTCAATAAGATTTAATAGATAGATTTAAATCAAAAAATATGTCTTTAAGACCCGATGAAAAGCTAGTGTGTTAACATTATTATAATAACCAAATAGACAAATATTTTTTGTCACAAGCCACCTGTCAACATTATTGAGTCTCAATATGTATATATCTTAAATATTTTGCACCAGTAAAACTACGAAATTAATTCTTCAAACCAATATACGTCAAGATTATATGATAGTCTGTATGAATTGAATCTTATATTGGAATATCTACCTTTTTGCTGGAAAATTTTTAATGGATCCATCAACGACTTGGTTAAAACTCAGCAGACCTTGAAAATTTAAGTGAACTGTAGCCGCGATAAAAAAAAGAAAAAAGGCTCGTGCCTATGAGTTGCTTCTGCATAGATAGAAGATTTTCAGTGAGTCATCATTCTAAAACCGGACATTTGCCACAAGAATAAACTTTCGAGTTTTAGATTGAAACTATCATGATACATCTGTTGTAGATATTATGTTGAAAGAAGTTTCCAAATCTCTGGATGACCTATCTTAAAGACTTCAACGTTTTCTAGTCTGATTTAAGTCTATGAGTCAGTAGAATTTCAAGTTCAAAGTAAAAAATAGCATCATCTTGTAAAAAAAGAGAATTCTACAGGATAAATTCTTCTGTCTTAGATATAGTTCAATAAGAGAACATTATATTTGATCAGTACTAAAATGATCAGTAATTAATCTTAAAATGATCAGTTTATTATATATAATTACCAGTAAAAAGGATAAAATTGATCAGTAAAACATAGAAATTTGGGTGTGGGTGTGATTGTTCTGCTTATCTACACCACCGCCACACCTCTTTTTGGAATTCTTTGATTTCCATTTATTCCATAATTTCCTTCCAGAACCTCTTTGTCTGATATATTACTTTCATATTGAACAACTTGTACGACTTCCATCCTGTTTACTTGTTGGTACTAAGCTGAATGTGAAAGAAAGGAGCTAAGAGTGCATTTATATATGTTGTACTTATCAGCTGTACGATATATAGACCAAAAGAACAAGCATGAAAAAAAAGTAAATCACCTTATAACACATTTCAATTTTTATACTGATCTTTTAATCTAATTTGCTGATTTTTAAACATATCAATAAATCGAAGTATCTTAATAACTGACCACACAAATAATGTACTGATCATTTCACTTATTCTGCTGATCGCTTAAATGATAGTCGTTCAATAAGATTGATAAAATATATCAAAGTTCAGTAAAAACATGAATTTTCTCTTGTTAATAACAATATATTACAAAGAAAAACTTGAGCGTAACATTTGATTCTACATGTGTAGAAATTACTAAACGAAAAACCTACAAGTTTTATTCTAAATCGAGCTGCATCAAAGTAATTTTGTTTCATAAACCCAACAGAGTATTCAACGTATGAATTATGAACTCGAATTTAAATTTACTAAATAGATCTTTCAATTAATAACACACTGTAGTTCCATTCTTTAAGTTTTTTCTGAAACTTTCATTGTTGTTAGAATCGTCTATTTTATTTAAAATCTCATCTTACCTCAGCAAATGAACCACGACCAAGACATTCAAGGTGTTCGAAACATTGATCCCAATAAGTTGATTCAGTTGATTTTGTATAATATGGGCTTTCCAATGCTAAATATACGAGAAAATAGAAATCAAAATATTAATTAACTAAATAGCAAAAACAAAATCCATACCAACACCAAATGTATTAGAACTAACTGAAACAGCATTGGCTAATCGAGCAGCAGCCGGCGTAAAATATCGATAAACCCGACATGAAACAGGTTTAGGTGGATGATTTATTGCAATTCGTCGACGACTAGCCTTAAATATAATAGAAATAAATAAGTAATTATAACAAAAAGAACATTTTGTCTTACTTTCTTGCTGGAAAATGCACGACATGAACTATTTGATGTACGTTCAGGTGAAAAAATTAATTCCGTTTCAGTCGTCATTCTTGTCTCATGTGACAAAGTCATCAAAAGTGAATCTTCAAATGAACGAAAACAAAATATTTTTCTACACATTTATGAAACTATTATTAATGCAATAACAAAAAATAATAGATTAACTCATAGTAGAAAACAGATGTGTGAACAATCTATGATAAGATTATCTTTTAATCAAACGAATTGCTGTTTTGTTGAACTCAAACGAGCGATAGCATATAAATAGATAATCATTGACAAAGTAACACACGATACAAATACTTTCTAGATAATCTCGTCATATTAGAAAAGACTATTTAAATCTTCGCATTAGAGAAACAATCTTTTTTAAATACCATTAAATAAGATAATGATATAACATGGCCTGTTTTTTCTTCAGCATGATCATTAAATCAATTCTTTTGAAGAATAAAAATAAAAATTCATCGAAATCATTATACTGTACTTTCACAATGAAAAATATCAAACGATTACATTTCCAAAATCCATAAAAATAACATTGACATATGACAAAAACAAAAACAAAAAAAAAGAAGACAAATTTTTGTATTTACATTTGTAAATCTAAAATATGTTTATGTCAATTGCTATTTATTTGAATTATTTCTATCAAGTGACTTAAATAACATAATGATTCAGGGTATTTAAATATTAGTATTTATAACGATTTTTTTTATTGATAAGTGTTCAACAAATGTTTCCTTTAATTTTCGAATAAATACATTTGTTACTGTCACTCTTCGAACTATGTAAAACTTCCATAAATATTGGTATCTTATCCATTTGTTGTCATGACATACAACAAAAGAATACTATATAAAATCTAAAAATGACATACAGACATTTGATTTGTGTTTTTTTTTTGTCATCGCATTGTTGTATATATTCTATTATTTATTGTTCATATCACACACATAAAAAACGAGAAAGAAAAAGAAAACTTGGCTTCTTTTTCCTTTTTTGAAACAGAATAAGAAGGCAACAGACGGTGGCTATTTTTCTCTTTTAATGATCAATAGCACACGTATATGACAAGTAAGAGCAAGATATCGTGTGCACGTGTGTGAATGTAATGTACGCGAGAAAAAAATAGAGAACAACATCAATAATAACAACAGAAAAAAAGAAAGAAAAAAAAATACAATTAGTCGAATCCGAAAAGAAAAAAAGAGATTCTTTGTTTGTACACGCTGAAATTAGAAAATACGAGATAAATAATAAAGATGAGGAAAATGTTCTCACAAACAACGTGAGATACATTATGTTGAATTTTCTTTGAATTCCTTTTGTGCTTTTCATATTTCTTAGATCACCAATAAGGTGGTGGCTGTACACCGTCTGAACTTAGATTTGATGGTGGTGCTTGTAAATCATTGAACTGTGAGGAAAATTGGGAATCATTTTGTGAAAATTGTTGCTGTTGTTGTTGAGAATCAGAAATATTTCCTGATGGTGCATGATAATGGATCGTACCTGGCTGAAGTTCACCTTGTGGTCCACCGGGACCTAAACTTTGAATATTCAATTGTTGAATAGACATTGTTGCCGAAACATAAGTATTATTGATTGATTGTGGTGGTAGTGGTCGACCATCGTTTAAATGCATTTGATGATGTGATGGATGCATATGTGGATGCATTTGATGATGTGATGGATGCATATGAGGATGATGATGAGGTGGTGGTCCCATACTAAAGTTATCATCCATCATAGGTGAAAATCGCATGTGCTGTTGATGATGACCAGGTAGTGGGCCAAGTAATGGATCCATATGATGCATTTTAACATAATTTGGCGGAGGTAGATGATGAAGATGCTGTTGCATTTGATCAGACATAGACTGCGGTGGAGGTGGTAAACCTTTTGATGAACGTGATGGACCACCGGGATGCTGCATCATCATTCCATTAGGATCCATTGCATGATGTGGAGGCATCATTTTGTACATATGTGGATGTGGTGGGGGTAAATTTCCAGGATGATGTGGATTAAATTGTGGAGGCATTGGCTCTGGTGGACCAAACATACGATGATGGGGATTCATATTCTACAGAAAGAAAAGAAAAAGAAAATTTAAAAAAAAGAAAAAAAAGAAACAGATATATACTTGAAATTGCATGTGTTGTGGTGGTAAATTCATATGATCCATTTGTTTTGACATATGCCCAAGATTTGGATTGTTTAACGATTGTTTTGATGGTTGATTATTTGATGAATTATATGGTGAATTCGATGATTGTAAACTATTTGTCATTTGAAGCATACTACTTAATGGTGGTGCCATGTTTGATGTTGGCGTTTTAGGGTCACCATTCATATCGAGCGGTTCATCTTTCGTTGAATTTGTAATCATTAATGGTGACGATAGATTATTATTTCCTGTTAATTTCGATGAACGTGGTGATGCTGCTGGAACACTTTGTGGTGTAATACCTTGTGAATGATGCGTAGGCGTTGTTGAACCGGATTGTTGTTGTTGTTGTTGCTGCTGTTGTTGCTGTTGTTGCTGTTGTTGCTGTTGTTGTAGTTGTTGTTGCTGCTGCTGTTGCTGTTGCTGTTGCTGCTGCTGTTGCTGTTGCTGTTGCTGTTGCTGTTGCTGTTGTTGTTGTTGTCCGAATGATAATGTATTTGGATTATTATTATTATTATTATTATTATTATTAGGTGTTGAAGTTGAACGTGTTGATGGTGTCATTGGTTCATCTTTACATGATGATGATGATGATGATGGACCACCACTTGGTCCAGTGCCAGATCGATAGCCTCGATTTAAATGTCTTGTTATTAATAATTCTTCTCCTTCCACACCTATAAGAAAACAAAGATAGTATTATAAAAAAAAATGAATTTAAAAATTTAATTTCATACCAAATTCATTATAATCCATTTGTGTTGGTGATGCAGTTAATTGTACTTCACCAATACTACCAGTTAATTTCTTATTGGCAGATGATGGTAATGGATCTGGAATGAATTTTTCTGGTTGACCAACTTTAAATAAACGTGGCACTGTGGACGATTCCATTCTAGGTGAAAGTAGTTTACCATTAGGTCCTAAATTGCCTCCTCCTGATGTTGTAGCTATGGGAGGTGTTAGTGATGATGGTGATGCTAATGAATAAGGTGGTGGCTGTCCGCGCATTTGATGAGCTTTTCCTTCGAGATGTTCCATTTGCATTTTAGTCCACTCTCTAACTGCTTGTGCTTGTGGATGATGTGGTGCTAATTGTCCGTATGGATCACCTGGACCTGGTCCATATTGTCCATGAAAACCAGGTGGCATTGGTCCATTCATATATCCATGTGGTGGACCGTTCATATCAAGCATCATTCCATCAGGTGGTCCTCGCATACCTGGCGGTAACATATGAGGTGGCGGTGGTCCGATGCCCATCATATGGTGTGGTGGACCAACGCCGTGTGAACTGTTCATCATCATCATTTGTTGTTGATGAGGATCAAGTGGACCACCGTTCATTGATGGTGGCATATTAGCATTAGCAGCAGCTGCAGCTGCATTCGCTTTCGCTCTTCCACCCCGACCACGTCCACCCGTAATTTTTGTTTTCATTTCTTGTATTTTATCTAATTGATGCTTTCGATGTATTGCTCGTTCAGGTGTTAAATTTTCAATACCATCTGATGGTGGTTGACCCATACCCGACATGGGTTGCATACCACCCATACGCATACCAGGTGGTGGAGAACCATTCATCATAAGTGCACCTGGAGGTAAAAGATGATTGGGTGGAGGTAAACCACCAGATCCAGGCGTTAGACGACCGAAAGGTGGTTGTTGTTGATGAAAATGTGGATGTGACCAATTTGGTGGTGGTGGACCACCGCCACCATTATGCATTTGTAAATGCGGATTATGATGTGGTGGACCATGCATCATCATTTGCATAGTTCGAGGCGAATGACATCCGGGTGGTAGATTCATATGCATTGGACCGCCAAGTGTTGAATTATGATTGTTATTTGAGAGAGACTACAGAGAAAAAATAGTAATAATCATCATGAAATCTATTGACTTTATATGAAACTCCAATGGGAGTTCTAATAGTTCTCGTATCCTTTTCTTCTTTGTCTACTCAATTACAGACATTTCCCTTGAGTTTTCTCTTTCTCTATCTCTATCTCTCTCTCTCTCTCTCTCTCCATAACGTTTCATTTACAATTTTGTTTATTCTATTGTTCATGTATATTAAAATTTCAGCTTACAGATACATATTGAGCAGTACTTGGCAATGATTTATGATATTCAATTATATTTGGATGTTCATTTTTTAATACAGAATCTGCTGCTTCATTAGCTAATTGTGTTGTAAATACAAAGACTTGATTACTCGTTTGTAAATATGGACTATCACTGGTTATAGTATATTGATTTCGCGGTGACATAGACATATAAGATGATGACGATGGTGGTGGCGGGAGTAAAGATTGTTGTTGTTGTTGATGTAAAGATGGTGGTGGTGGTGGTGTTTGACGTGTCAGTAATAATGAATTAGGTGTATTACTACAAGTATTATGATTTGATGGAGCAAAATCATATGATACTTGGCCGATATCATTACCATTACGTGATGGTGTTAATGAACACGGGAGACCATTTGATAAAGCTACAATAAGTAAATGCTGTTTATTTCATAAGAAATAAAAATATATACTAACGAGTTCCTGTCCTACTATGTGATCTTTCAGAGTCTATTTGTTCAGTTTTTTGTGGTTTCAAATTGGATAAGGAATCGAAATCGACAGATGAAGGATCAATTAATTCATCTAATTTTCTTTTATTCGTTTTATTATTATTTGTTTGTACTGCTTGTCTTGAAACATATATATCAGAATATTGATTCATTGGAGAATCAGATGAAGAAATTTGCTGATGAGATTCATTTGTATGTAATAACATTGTTGCTGGAGGTAATGTTCCACTTTCCATACCATTATTAACTAAAAACTAATTAAAATACATATCGATGAATGAAAACGTTCAAAAAAAATATAAAAAAAAACTACTCATACCATTATTATCAACAGACGATCGTTGTTGGACAGTATTTAGTGAAAGTGATGCAGCCGATTTGGCTTTTTTGACGTTGTTTTTCATTGGTATTAATCATCTACATTTATTATTATTCAATCTGAAGTTAAAATTTTTCTGATTAGATTCAATAAAATCAACAAACAAGATAACATATTGTCGGACTTGTTTTTTTCCTTTATTCGTTTTTTGACGTCAAGCAAGCCAAAGTGCATGCACACTCGCGACACGTTCACGTACATACATCATGAGAGAAGAAGAAGAGGAGGAGGAGGAGAAGAAGAAGAAGAAGAAGAAGAAGAAGAAGAAAAATGTCAAAAAAGAACAAACAACGGCTTGGTTCTTTCTCTCTCTTACGTTCAACCCGCCGTCCGATAGTACATTCCCTCTCCCCCCTTTCTGTTTTCTTCCATTCATCGTGCTCGATTGCCAGCTACATCTAGCAACTGTTCAAATTTAGAAGAACATGAGAAAGAGGAGAGAGACAAGGGAAGGCATGCTTGCTTGCACGAGTGCATTGAACATCATTCTTGCTCCGAGCATATTACACAAATAGTAAAGAAGAGGCGGGGACAGCATCAACGCTCTGCATCATGTGAAAGACGAACAAGAATAACAACAACAATAACAGATGCGTAAAAAACAACATCTTTACTGTGGCCTACTATGCTCGTTCTCGCTCGCGCGCTAAGATGTCTCTATTTCTTTTCAGTTTTTTTTCTTTTATCGTTCTTGTGTTGCTTCTTTCTTTTTTTTGCTCTGGCAAAGAACCTATAGTGCAGTACCGAACGCGAAAGAGCAAAAGATGGAAAACATTCTTCTTCTTTTTCTGCTCTGTTCTCATCATGAAGTTTTTTTCCTTGTAGAGTAGTAGAAGCAGTACTACTGACAGTACTGTAGAATAATCAAATGAAACAAAGAGAAGAGAAAAGAAAAAAACGAAAGGCAGAAAAGGAAGAAAAAAATGCATACTACGACATCGTAGTAAAACAGTCGTCATCGTAGTCGTTATTGTATATAGTTTCTTTTTTTGGGAATGAATGGATGTATTAAGGTGTGAAAAGTCTAGTGTTGAATGACTGACTAGCTGTTCAACAGCGAAAAAAAAAAGAAAAAAAGAAATTCTTTTCTTTAGTAACATGTTCATTTCCGAACGTGCATCTTACGCTTGCGTTCGCAATGCATGCAAGCATGAAATGACAATGAGATATCGACATACTCCCTAAGGTGTGCAACGCAAGAGGGAGAGAGAGAGAGACATAGCAAGTATAGTTGACCAAGCAAGAGCACTTTGTCGATATATGTGATGGTTCAAATAGAAAAAAAAACGAAGAAAAATGTTCGCCTCTAGTGACAATACAAGAACGGCAATACTTGTTGCTCTATACTGTAGTGACAATAGTGTGCCTGCTCGAGTGTAAGAAATGGTGGACAAGAAAAGTAGATCAAGTAGGCATCATCAAAATGATATGATCTATCGTGAATATGAATTAATATAAACATTATTTAATACATACTATACATTGAAACAAGACGATGAGCATTGTATTATAAAAGATCTATCTCAGTATGTTATAAGACGGAAAACAAGAAATTTAATACCAACATTTATATGTAAACAAAGTGATAGATAATATTTCAATACCATTCTGACCTGTTCTGTCAAGAATAAAGTTTTTTTTGTCTTTTTTTTCCTCTGAATACATGTTTAAAAAAAATCATATGCATACATACATACATTTATTTGTCCTTATTTGGACTTTTTTTTCTGTGTCTATTCATTCACTCATAAACAAGAAAGAAATTGTCTCCTACCATCGAATAAGCAGTAACGTAGTTCAAACAATGTTGATGACAGAAGAAAAAAACCGCCTTACACACATACATGCACGGACAGGAAAAAAGAAGAAGAAAGGGTGATGTGTTAATAATACGTAGATCTTTTTGCTGCCACGGTGTATTCGATGCAACAAAAGAATGAAGAGAGAAGGAGAGATCGAGAATGAGTAGAGAGCGTATGAGAAAAGAAAAAGAAAGCAAGAAGGGGACGCATTACAGGGAGAAGAAAACAAACAGGCAGCATGCCACTATTTGTCAAAGCGCGCGTAATAAAAGCGAGAGATACTTAAATATAAAGCAAGAAAAAACCCTTAAGAAACTAACTAAACTATTTTTATGTTATAATTTGTCAATAAAAAGATATTTAAAATCGTGTAAATTTTTATTTTTAACTGTAAAAAATGATGATCTTTGTTTTTTTTCTTTTAAAATCCTAGTTTTAATGCCTACCATTCATAGTTATTATTATGGTCGTATAATGTTTTTTTCTTCGAGAAAACGAAGAAGAAAAGACGGTAATGACTTGGACGACGGTGACAGAAGAGAAAAGAGACACCTCCGTATGTATTATGCTTCACTGATTTCGAACAAATGACGTAGGCTGGTAGGCAAGCAGAGACGCATACTCAATTGATAATGGCAAAAAGTTACTGTCATTACAAGTAATCATTTTGCTTTGTGATAAACACATGTGTCATCAAACATATTCGCATCTAATTGAAAAGATACTGATTTTTCTTTTGTTCAAGAAAAGAGTGTCATGTGTACTTTTGTTTTACGAATCAAATGAAGAAAGTAGAAAATGTAAGATAAATATATTGACTTTCTTTTTAACAGAACCAATGATGACGACAGTAACCTTGAGGGATAGAGAGTGAGACCATGCATTTCCACTCTAAACACTTGACTCTTCGTTTTTTTTTCTCGTGAGAATAGATCGATGCGAACGATAGGTCCTGAACTTATCATCTCTTCTCTCTTTCCTTTTTCTTATCTTTTTTTTCTTCTTACTTATATGATTTTTCTGTGACGACAGACAGTTTTCTTCTCTTTTTTCTCCCTCGTCTAAACACCCACTTGCGCTCTTCCGCCATGATTCTTTTCTTTTTATTTTACTTCTCGCTCATTTTTGTTACTACAGGTTGTATTTGACAGTATGATCAACATATTTACAGTAACTTAAACTCATATCTAATCTATTTTCTACTGATTTCTTCTATAAAAAAAATTGTCTCATAACAAGAATGTAAAATTGATTGTCAATAATTAGAATCAATAAAATCTGATAAAACAATACAATTGACAATGAATATGACATAAGTATGTCAAGTAATTAATATTGATATAGTCGATAGACGACCTTATTCTTATACTAATCAACCGACCATGACACTCCTATTATTATGAAGTACGTTGTATGACAATAAATGAAAAGAAAAAAAAGGCGACTATATGCACGTTCATAATCTTTAAAAAAATATATTGTCATCAACTAAATTGCAACTATTAATAAACATAATTGTATGTTTTTTAATAAATAGATGGATGGAATTTTTTTACTAGTGGTGATCAATGATCTTTTCAAATCAATGAGTTGATTAATGATAAGTAATAAAATTCGAAAATATCTATGTTAGTATTTAAGAAATATTATTTTTTATTTTAATTCTATTGTATAGAACTAATTAATTGTTATAGACAATGGCGAATGAAGTCTTCGACAAATTATATTTACATTGTACTGCACTTGTACAAAACAAAGATTTCAAGGAACTGGGGAAACTTTTCCGAACTTACTTTTCTCAACGAAGAAAATTTTAGATTCAAATACATGAACAAATATTTCATTCGAAACTAGACTCATATTCATATTGGGAGAGAAAAGAACGCCTAAATCCATTTGTTTAAAAAAAATACAATATTCACAGGTATTTTACCCGCCAATGTTTTATAGGTTATAACATGTCACCTCGAACATGATGACAAATTCGATTTATTTTTATAAGGTTCGAGTAACTTTTGCCGGAACTTTTTAACTCTAGTATAATAAAGAATAAAATTTCTTCAAGCACTAAAATTTTCAATTCGATAATTTTTTTGCTTAAAAAAAAAAGAAAGAACGTTCATGTGTGATTTCATCGTTATTGGTCCATGTAAACATACACTATCATGAACTTTTATATTCGTGTGACTAGTCGAAATTTTTTATAATGTGAAAACATTTTTTCTTTCGAAAGTCAAAATAGTTAAAATTTAAAAATTCAATGAAAATAGCGTAAATAAATTCTTCAGACAAAAGTTTATTTCTCTCTAATCTGCATAGATTGAGATAATTCGAAATCAAATCAAATGAATAACTTTTGCTTCCAACCAATAATTAATATGAACGCGCAATAAAACAGCAGAGATGCTTTTTATAATGATGTCCTCTAAGTCGTATTTGCCTCTTAGACTCGAGGGGCTGTACGTGACTTTACTGACGTTATCCGTTTTCTTTGAATAAAGAGATTCATCAGACAGGAAGTAAGGAATCTCAGAGAAAAAATAACAATTCTTGAGTCAACAAAAACTAGAAGCCTCAAGGCTTATGAAACTGATTGTTGCTTCGGTACGACTACCGGAGATATTCTTGATTATAAACGGGTTTTTTTTCTTCATTTAGGGATTCAAATCAATATCAAATATTGGCAAGAAGAAACTAAAATAAATGATTAACTAGGTGAAATAATCTTATGCAGATTCATTCGATCCTATAATATAGTTCTCTCCATGATTTAAATTGAGAAAATGTGACTATAGCTAGTCTCGCCTAATTCGTAGTTGTCTTCAGCCTATTTCTCATATGTTGACCTTATAAAAACTTAATTAACATACTCAGAAACTGAATATTTCTACGTGAGAGCGAAGCCTTAATGATACACATTACGTAACTGCAAACGTCAGGTCATGCACTTGCATTCTGATTTCAGTAAGAACACAAAAGAATAGGCTTCATTACATTTGCAAAGATGTCTTTTCTATAAAAATATTCAAGTTACCTGTATCTTTGAATGAATTTTAGTAATAGGAACTACTAAAAAAAAGATTCTAAACTAATCATACCGATAGTTTTTTCGAATTCGAAAATTTTCGAAGAAAACATTCTTAACGTTGATATTCTTTGCAAGATCTCAAATTTTCTTAAAATATGAACAAAAGATTGAATATGTTATTGGTTTATAAAAATT